CCTCGAAAAGGCATTGTCAACCTTGGCTTCGCCGCGGTTAACAATGTTTTCTCGGGGTAACAATCTGCTCTATCACCCTCTCAGCTATGTGTTATTTATATAATGTCCCCTTTATAATCTCTTGAGAACAGAGTTATATAATAAAATTTGTAAAAATTTCGAAATGTTAAACACATGTGCCAAGTTTAATTGGCTTTTTACTCAAGAAATACTAGAGGTATTGACAATTATTGCAATTTAGATTAATAAATAAATGTTTTGAACTCAGAAAACTGTCAATATAGCACAGGGGTCCGTTTCACAAAGCTGTCTTAGGATTGTCTGACGACATATCTTAGTCCTAAGTGGGTTTCACAAAGTGGTCCTAACTTAAGACGTCTCTTAAAGCTGGTCATAAAGTTAGGACTACACGGAAGGTGTCTTATGATGGTCTTAGGATTGTCGTACGTTAATTTTGTTAATCAATATATATAAAAAAAAAGTTAATAAAAAAATCTTTTATGAACTTAAGGGGATTCCCCTTCTTGCTCAAAACTAATTCTTTATGGGTTGACGGAATATTTAAAATGATTTAACGACAATGAAAATTCGATGTATTTATAGGAAGTTTTAAACCCACCATGAACTTATGTTTATAACGTTGACGTCTGCAATTTCCAGTTGAATTGTATGAAAATAATATTTTGATGTACTGAAAATGTACTTACAAAATATACAATGTATATATTTACTTATCTTTTCAAAACCAATCTTACTTCAGTGACTTTTATAATAAATGGAAAACCCAAATTCGATCATATACATACTTGACTGACTATTGCTTAACCAGACTATTTCAAGGTCAATAAATAAAAGGAGTGTAACGTTTGAAATGTCGAGGACTTTGTTATCATGCGGTAAATGAGTCCACTCTCCAAAGTGACCATGACTCTTCAATAATTGAAGCAGCAAACTGTATAACTGACGGACACGAAAGACATAAAACCGTGACCAATTTATTTACTGATCTTTTAAAAACCAGTTTTACTTTAGTGACTTTAATAATTAATGGAAACCCAAATTTGATTTTATGCATACTTGACTAGTGCTTAACCAAACTATTTCAAGGTCAATGGGTAAATGGAGTGTAACGTTTGTCACAGTCTTAGAATTTTATTATCGCGACATAATTTGTTTTCTTCCAGTTCATACCAGCGATTGTCGTACCAGGGGCGTAGGAGCCGATGGGAAGGGGAACACTTGCCCACCTTACTTTCAATAGTTGTTTTGTCCCCCTCCACAAACAATAGAAATGAAAACGATGAAAACGACAGAGAACACTGACTTACTACTAGACTATTAGACTACATATTTTTGTTTGCTTGTCACTTTTGGAAGTTTGCTCTACTTTTCAGTCTATTCTTACGCCAAAGTTATACTATTTGTTGATATTTAATATTAATGCATAACCTCTATTAGTTTTATTGTCTCACGAATAAGTATAAAGACGAGATAGTGGGAGGGTGTAAACATGAGGCAAAAAAAAACCCCTCAAAAAACTAAGTAACAACCATGCAATCTATCAATAACCAGTGCCTTTTTCTTTCTGCTTTACATTACGCGGCTAGAAGGTCTTTATAGATAAACTTAAAGCTCACAGTGAACATACAGGAAGAAGATTATTTTTATATGATAATTTTCATACAATTTTTGATATTGTTATTTTTTCTAAAAATCAAGATTCAATTAGATATGTCATTACAATTTATTTATATCATAGAGCTTTCTTACAATTCGACGAAAGATACGTAAGCTTGACGAATCATACGTAAGACCTGTTTGAGGGATCCATTATTTTGACTTTTGAATTCTATTTTAAAATATGACATCTTTATGTAATCTCAATCAAAGCTGTCATCTTATGTTTTTGTTGTCGTTTTTACTATTTTTTGGGGTTTCAAAATTTAGAATTTTGGAAGTATTTTTATATATACATGTGTGTATGTATATTTTTTTTTGGGGGGGGGGGGGGGGGTTCCCACTATATTTGCCTTGGAACTTTCTTAGGTTAAATCTCCCATTGTTATTTCCTTTAGTTAATTGATGTTATTTGTTATTTTAAAAGTCGGTATAGGATAATGGTACTTTTTGGACTGTTAATATAAATGTTTGAGGAGCGAAATATTCCTCAAGTTATAATTTCAAGTTGTCGAAAAACCATTTTACTCTGCTATATTTAGTGCTAAGTTGAAAAGTTTCCACGTTTTATTACATCCATGATATGCTTTCTTTGATCCACAGCATATCTAAATAGCAAACAGAAAACAGAAAACAGAAAATACAGAGCGAATTGTTGTTTCATCAAAATTGAAACCAGTTTCCTAAACTTATCAAACTGCCTCGTGTGGTTTGAACAATTTAACAAGCCATAATTAGAACTTTTGATTTGTTTCCAAATTAATAAATCAAAACCAGTTTAGACCTAACAATACACCATTCAAAAACCAAAATTCCTATTTGCTTTACACCTCCTCTGTGGTAACATTACGGGCTCCACTGTTTCATAGGAGCCCACGAATCTTGAGCCCGGATTCGTACCGACGCAGCTGGGAGCCAAACCCGGAGCCCTATAAGTAGAACACTGAGCACCAAAACATTATTAAAAGAAGCGGGGAGCCCATAATGTAGACCCTGGAGCCCAACGATAAAATTCTGATGGAGCCCTGTGCCCCGAGACGTTGTAATCCTCAATCCTCTCTGCACAAAAAGCTGAATCGCTATGATGAACACTAGACTAGTATGACTGCAATAAATTTGACCTGTACAATTTCCAAGCCTGATCGACATTAGAGTTTTGTCGAAAGTGATGTTTAAGTAATCTGATATCAAAGTTTATCAAGAGTGGCCGCGAGATTGGGCCTTAAAAAATAATTTTTAAAGTGTCTTTAATCGGGTGAGGCTAATATAAAAACATTGCTCATAAATATTCTAGATCACATATTATAACAATGCTGGTTAAAAAAAATAAATGAAAAAAAAAAAATATATAACATCCACGGTGGGATTCGAACCCACGACCTCTGGATTAGAAGTCCAGCGCGCTATCCCCTGCGCTACGCGGACATAACAATGCTAAAGAATATTTAAATATATATACGACATATATTTATTACAAACCGTATCATCGATTGATAAATCAGTGGCAATATTTCTTTACTTTTCAGGGACTGGAATAATAAAGTTAACGAAAAAAACTGATAGACGATAGGGTCTACACATGATTTCCACGTGTTCTTCAAAATGCATTATTTTTACAATATTCAGTGCTTATCTGCCCCTTGTCAAAATAATTATGACGGCTTGTTCTAGCCACAACATCCGTAATATGCAGCCGGTAGTTTGATTTTACACCAATGTGACGTAACGGGTACCTATTTTATAGCAAATCAAATATTGAATCGAGGCATGCCAAGGCCCCGTGTTGAAGACCGTACTTTGACCTATAATGGTTTACTCAAAGTTTACAAATTGTGACTTGGATGGAGAGTTGTCTCATTTGCACTCATACCACATCTTCTTATATCTATGAACACAACAGTCAGCAGTACTGCCAGCATAAACAGACTGAGACATATATATTGTCTCTGATTTTTTAATTGGTTCTCCATTCTATACAAAAGGTCCACAAATTAGCGATAAGCGAACACAACATGTGGCCAGCCAGTTTACGGTCAGTTCTGTTATCTTTTTTTTTCCATGTCATTAAAATATTAGTGGGGCATTAAACTTGTATAATAATATAACTTTTACATCGTTTTAATTATGTGCTTTAAAATCCATCGTTTATGGAAATTTGTCATAAAATTTATGACCATGATAAAAAGATTTTGATATTTATTGATTCATCATTTAACATTACATAATTTGAAATTGACTTTCCTAATTATCAAAACAAAAATCTAAAATAAACGCTCGTCATATTTCATAGCAAACTGCAAACAATTAGTGATCATATCAACATAACTCAAATCTATAATTTATTTTTGCAAAATCTTGACTGTAGAAAGAAGTCATTTTCATGGATATCACGATCAATCAATGGAAGATTCAACTGCATCTGACAAAGTTGAACTCTGGGTGTATTTCTATTAGACGCATTTTGCTTTAATCAGTCCACCAACGAACATCTTAAAAGGTCCAAGGGTTCTTTAACGACATTTAGTTCACCATGTATCCAATTTAACGTTCTCATTCCGACTTTACTTGGCAGCTTATCTATATATCAAACCCAAACAAACGAAAGCCCCTTGCGTTAAGGTTGTACCTCTGTCAACGTATATTTGTTCCGCCTTACAGAAGTTCCACTGGAAACTCAGTTTGCTATAAACAATGTCATAATATCTATTCCTGTTGGAACAAAATTCTATACCATTTATTCCGCTAGGAACATATACTGTAATATTGGTTCCTGTGGAAATAATATTCCAGAATATTTTTTCCTTTTGGAACTTATATTATGATAGAACTTCTATTCTGTGACACCTCTTAGAAGCAGGGTTTAATTTGTACACCTGGTTTATACAATAATATATACATTTTTTATTCCTTTAAACAAAAGCTGTAGGAGATTCATATTGTACAAATATTTTTCCTATGCGTGTTCAGACATGCACCTGTCCTAAGTCAGGAATCTGATGTTCAGTAGTTGTCGTTTGTTGATGTGGTTCATAAGTGTTTCTCGTTTCTCGTTTTTTATATAGATTAGACCGTTGGTTTTCCCGTTTGAATGGTTTTACACTAGTAATTTTTTGGGGCCCTTTATAGCTTACTGTTCGGTGTGAGCCAAGGCTCCGTGTTGAAGACCGTACTGTGACCTATAATGGTTTACTTTTATAAATTTTGACTTGGATGGAGAGTTGTCTCATTGGCACTCATACCACATCTTCTTATGTCTATCTATGAACAGATTAAATCAAATACAACAGACCTGTACTGGACGCTGGAATCGATGAAGGCGAAGAAAACTTTTTATCGTTTAATAGAAAAAGAAATAATCACATTAATTCAGTTATATGAGTTTATAGGTATAGATATTTTCCAAACTGTAAGTAACATAAATTAAAATTGTGATACTTCGGAGAAAGAGTGACAAAGCTTATTACCTGCTAATTATATTATTTTATTACATGCAGTAACTGTTATCTAATACTACTATAGTATATGCATTTTTAAGATTGTGAACATTGTTTTAGATGAATAAACATATTAATAGATTGTAAAACAAATCAACACTGATGATGGTAAATCTACACAACAAAAATAAACCGCAAAAACATGGTTATTTTCTTCGTACAACTAAAACAGAAGAATTGCACATTATAAGAGACATTTATCAATCCGCTAAGGCGCTATTGTTTAAAGATAGATTACACCAAAGAGGGTGTCATTACTTGAGCAAGACCTTCTGAATCTTCTTTTTTATGGGGTTCATGTTCATCAAGCATACATCTTCGTTGTGGTGATAAGTGGACTGTTGTTCGTCTTTTCGTCGTTTTTTTTCTTTTGGAAATTTATTGTGTTCCCTTGGTATCTTCCTTTTTTTTATTCAAATTGTTTCACATTTTCATTTTACAACATAGGGTTATGTCCGTGACAATCAGTAGGGGACACGATTCGAGTTTGAACCCAATCAAATCTACATACTTATCCCGTTATACTTGGTATTTATAATATTGTGTTCCAAAAGACAACAAAGACTGCATCTGACAAAGTTGACCTCTGGATATATTTTTACTAGACACCTTCTGGTTACTGAGCTCTCTATTTTTGGCTTTGAGTTAATCGTAAAGGTAAACCTAGAAATAGGCACCGAACGCATCAAATATGGTAAATTAAACTTTAATTAACCAACGTTTTGGTTACTGTTGATATACTCAATCAGAGTATAACAATTATGAAGTTTTATTTTTATTATTGATAAACAACTATTTTAAATGAATTATAAACTTATAAGCATGTAGGAAATGTAAACATATAAAAGAGAGATACCTTAGAGAAAAAAAGAACAATATATAAGTACACATTATAATATTTTTGGCTTGGTTAAGTAAATAAATCGTAAGAAATCTTATTATAAATCTGTTTATAATGTGCTTTGATTTGCTTATTTGATAAGTTCTAACTTAACAGAACATTCAGCTTTCATCTGACAGACCTAATGATGACGTCAACTAAAAAAAAACGTCAATGCTACAGTCATCCAAATGAGCATGTTCTTTGCGGTGACATAATAAAGTATTATGTCATTAATTTTGCAATCCTTATAAAAGAATGTTTATTTTACATATAAATAAATAGAAATAACTCATTGATTCAATTTGAAAATTAAGGGTTTAAGTAGTCAGTTTCTGAATAAAATGTTTGAAGCAAAACAAATGACCCATTATATGTATACAGTGGCTGCATTTTTAAATTGTTATCTTATACATTTTCAATTAAAAAAACTTAAAAAAACACGTACATTTTGTGCGCCCGAAGAGCTTTATCAGGAACGACAAAGATGTATAACTACTTACGCGAAGAGCTTCTGACCAAAAGGGATCTTAAAAGAAAATCAAAATCCATCTAAGGTTTACCTTACTTAAGGAAGTTAGAACCATACCTTGGGTTAGCTAAATTATACCAAAAACCAACACGAATTTAAACCGTGAACGATTGCCCTTGCTTTTACTAAAGTTTACACAACTACATAATTAATAAACTGAACAATTTAAATTAAAACGATATCAATTAAATCCTGCGAGTGAATCTCGTCTTCTTAACGGTCGACAATCTCGGGAACTGACAGTCACCAAGGATACTGAGTCAATTGTATTAACAAGAACGTATGCCTATAATCTCTAAACTTTGTTTTCAGTGGTTTTTTGCTTATATCTTTTATTGCCCTTATGTTGCCGTTTCATAGTCTTAACATTTGTACGGAATGTCTTTTTCAGATCAAACGGCATATTGGAATGATGAGGTGTAGGTCTTTTGACCGATTTCCCAAGCTCATTTCTCTTCTTCGACCTTAAGTCATAGATGTTCTCGTAAATTTGATCGATTTCTTCCATGTCCACTGTTGACGTATCCGATGCACCACTTTCGCCTACGTGATTCAATTTGGTGGTGACAAATTCTGGCTCACTGGCTGGCGAAATGGAAGAAATATCTTTAATTCGGTTAATTATTGATTCAGGATTTCCCTGAGTTTGTCTCAGAGTTGTTGCTGACAAAACATGGAGGAGCGTGCCATATCGATGTCGCACCATACCAATAAATTGCATAAAGAGAAGAATGGCAAATATTGATAAAAACAGAAGTCCAAGTGGCTCAATGACTGTGTTACTACCAATTGCGGGAATGTGTATGTTCAACTGACCTTTTACCTCATTCATTGCGGACATAACAACAACCCACAATGCATTGACAAAGAAAAATGCAAAAGCTACTTTATCTCGATACTCTTTAAGACTTCGAGCTATTTCTTTTTCTCTCTTTTTATCCGAATCTATTGGTTTCAGATAGTTCAGGATAAGGTCCTTCCAGAATAAATTCTCGTCATCCTGTAATTCTTTCGTTTGACCATGATCTTCAGCCCAGGATGTATCATCTACAGATTCCGAATCTGGTTTGTCTTTGATTGTTTGTGCAAGGCTTACTCTTTTTCTCCTTGTTTGTCGTAAATCAGAACCATCATCAGGTACTGTCGATTCAGTATTTTTAACAATGTTCTGCACGCTTTCTAAAGATCGTAAAAGAACGAGATTATTATGCCATTGAAAATACGATGGGATCAGATCTGTATACGAAGCATCTTTAACTTTTGTTGTCTTTATTTGCTTCAGAATATCATCAAGGATATCTTCAGAGACAACTCCAAACTCTTCCTCTGTTTTCTTTTTTCGCCGTTGCTTGCCTTCGAACTGCTGCTCGAGAACCGCCGTTTGTGTTTCCCGGGTCCCCCAAGATACGTTGTTTAGATTACATATTGCATATACAATTAAAAACAAATATCCGGCTGGTATGCACACGAAGTACAAAAGTCCCCAGAATAAATCTGTCAATTCGTGAGGATGAAAAAGACCTGCTATTAGGAAAATTCCGATAAGAACGTACATGAAAACAGCAGTTGGTGTAAAGATTCCCTCCTCTGCTATGTTAACAACGGTTCCAACTAAAACTGCCATCATAAACATGGCGTAAATTGCACTCAGAGCCATTGCAACTGTCAACTGTGTCTGTGTTTTACATTTTAGGCAGATGAAAATGAAAACTAAAGTAGGACCATAAATCACTAGGTAAGCAACCCATGGACTAACACTATCCTTAAAAACGGAACTGATAGCAGACCGCATTGCCAGTAATACAAGAGATGGTCCAAGAATAGACGACAGAAACAAAATCCATTGATAGAAAATATAAAGATAGGAAATGTTTGTATTGTTTCTTGTTGTACGCTTGTAGCTTATCAGAAGATCCAAAATATTTGCCATTGTTGATGGCATCCATCTTCGCCTTTGATTGAAAAATTCACGAAACTCCTCAGGTGCAAATGTCACTGCTTCCGCAGCTGCACAATACTCTATTCGATAACCTTGTTGTAGCATCAATGTACAAAGCCAACGGTCTTCCCCTGTAAAAAAAACAAGTAAAAGGAGCACAATTTTATTCAAAAACATTTGAATTTTTTTTAGACGTATATTCATTTCCAGCCGAACTTGCTTCAAATATATATTTACTCATGTATTTACTAAAACTACATTTTTAGGGGAATTCCTAGGAAACTAATTCCACCCTAACTATCACAATAGTTTCGAGCAAATAGCTGACTAAATCTTCCAGTATTTGCCATCCTGTTTTATTGCATTACTTTTACATGTATTCACATAGCTTAACGACATCTAGATGTCAACATTCACACGAAAAAGGAGATACATAGTGTGACCACTATCATTTCATAAAGTGATGAATACTAAATTTGTTAGTTTTTAAATAAAAAGTCTATTAAAAAAAAATGCTGCTTCATCATCAATGTGCAAGTAAACAGTGTGTCCAGACGCTTGTCACTTAATCAGAAGATCCAAAATATGTACTAGTTTTATGGTTGATGGCTTGTTCATCATATACTTGTCATAAAGACTACCATTGTCAATTCATTGCCACGTCTTGTTAAGACATTTAGGGGTAAAAAAAACTAAAGATACATATTAAAATAGTAGATGCAACGGCATGGCCACTACTATAATTTAAAGTGATAAAAACTTAATTCATGCTACTAATTTCAATTATGAATAAAAGATTAAGTTCGATATGGAATTCTCCATACAAACAATGGCAAGGCAGATGAACTGGATTCTGACCTATGGTTTCATCACTGACTGAGATGTGCTGATCAGGCGATCTAAAATATTTAATTTCCTATGATTGAACATTGAGGTTATAACTTAATCAGTATGATTTTAGTTATCACTACGAAGCAAGAGTATGAATATACCTCTTTTCTAAATTTATATTTAAACGTTAAATACCAACTTCAAATTGCACACTTTTTTCCGGAAATCAAAGTCAAAGGGAACTTGCATGATCTTCGTGAAAGGTAAAACATGACTGTGTAGTTTGTAACATCATATTGCCAGACAGCAACTTACATGCGTTTAACCGTTCTGACATATACAGAGAGCTTTTGGGTTATGTTTGTCAAATGAAAAAATGAGTTACTGTCTCGTTAACCTATACAAAAAACATTTCTATAGAGAAATGACAGATATTAATGTGTTTACAAAAAACCATTATTTTCATTAATCATAAAGCTGGGAGCACATTTTAGTTGGCCTAACTACTGTATCTATACACTGTGTAAAAGTAATAACCAAAACGATGATCCATTGATAGTGTAAAAACGTAGATCAATGTAGACACCGAAACTTATGTTTTTGAATTATCGTAGCTAATCAATTCTAAGAACTAACATGATATTAGCGTTTGATTTACTGTAAATTTTTAAATGTCTACATCAAAATCTTCGCTCTCTGCTTGACATTTGTCTGTCAGCATAAGAATCAATTTCTAGTATTGTTCACTCTAGAATAAAGACCTGTATGGAATCAACCCTAAGTTATGTCTTCCCTTCGACGAAGGGGCATTATGTTTTAGAAGTGTTTCTTCTGCTTCAGTTTACATTCAACCTTGTCCGGGCTAACACTTTTTGTTATCTTTTGATATTGGCCTATAATATTTGGCATGAAGGTGTATAACCATAAGATGCTGTGTCGCATATCATCATTATAACAATACTTAGTAAGAAGATGTGGTATAATTGCCAAATGAGACAATTATCCAGAAGAGACCAAATGAAGTAGATGCAAGCAACTATAGGTCATCGCATGGTTTCCACGATGAACAAAACCTATTCTGTATAGAAAGCTTAGAAAGGTCCCAACATGACAAACTTTAAACAATTCAAACGAGATAACCTACGGTCTGATTTATGTACTAAATATAAACAAAATAACCAATATGATAGACAGCAACCAACGACAGCAACTAAAATACAGGCGACAAAAGTACAAACTGAAAAATCAGTTGAAAAAGGTTAAACTCGTCAGGTCGACACATGACCTTCATGTAAAATTGACCTTTTACATCAAGGTCAAAATATGTGATTTTTTTGGACATTTTCTTGACCAAGACATAACTTTCTTATCATTTGACAAAGGCTTTTGATATTTAGCATAAAAGTGCAGCTGTTCATATTAATTGAATCAATGTACAATATAAACTTTGCACATGCAAATCAATTATTTTGAAGCCCCAAAAAAAGAAGAATTTTGTAATACGTCATAAGCGCCATCCTACTCTATTGTATATATCATATAAGAGGTACGCAAATGTAAACAACTCAACTGTGAGTAGGTGTTAGCCATTAATATAGGAAGTTATCAATTCATTTGTAACTATCAGCACTTAATAGTGGATTGGAGATCTTCTAGAATGTAGAAGAATGGTGAAATAAGATTGTTATTTTTAAGGAGTTTCGACAATTATTACAAAACTAATCGAAACACTTATATAGAAATCAAGTTAAAATTTCCGGACAATATATATAAATTATTTGACGGCGAAGTCCCCATAGTAAATTTAAGTTCATAATGAAGATGATTGAAATTGTATTGTTACTTTTGGTATCAAACACACTTGCAAATGCCGTCAGTGACAGGGTCGACGCACCTTTACTTGATAACAACAATGCGCCACTAGTTGCCACCCTCGATTTGTCGAATGCCAATAAGCGTATCAAAGAATATGTTAGTGAAACAATGGAGACAAAGATGGCAGATCTGGTGAAGATGAAATTAGAAGAGGTTCTTACAACATTGCATTTAGAGGAAGATGTAAAGCGTTACATTGATAACGTTAAAAAGAATCTGACCGTCAACATAACTGATGATATAAAACGAATTTCTGATGCAAAGATTTTAGAGAAAGGTAATATGAATAAGTGTTTATTACGTCAGGATGGTGTAAAATATGCTCTGTGTAGTACGAGCTATTTCTTGTATATATATCAAATATGAACACTTTTTTATCTAATAATTTGATTTGATACAAACAAGAATATATTTTTTTCTTTTCATATATATGTAAATGCATGTATTAGATTTGGCAGGTATTGGTATACAGTTTTGTCGTATTTCATGCAATTCTCATAAGGAAATATTCAATGGTAGTGTCTCGCTTCGAGTGCGAGTACCGTGGTTTCAATAACTGGCCGGGTCAAACGAAAGACTTAAAAAGAGTAAGTGCTCCATCTCCAGTAAAACATAACATTTAGGAGTAAGAACAGAAGCTGGTCAGTTCAGAGTCAGAATAGTGTGCCAGGGTAGGAAAACATGCTTTCTGTGGACTGTCCCCAGGGAAAGCCTTGAAAACTACGGGGATGTAACTAAATCTTGGTCTCCCTGACTAGTAAAATAATTGATATATTATCAAACAGAGAATAAAATAAATGTACGTCCTTTAATTTTCTTTCATTTTCGAGTAAAATAACAAAGAGAAGCTATTAGTTTTGCCAGTGTAGGCAATAATTCTCACATTTTCTTTGTTATTTCTATAATAAAAATCTAGACAATCGACAATTGAGAGCGAGATGCACTTAATTAAGCATTTTTGAAATTTCAAGTCAAAAGACGACCACCTTCTTACTGTTCGATAAAATTAAATCTAGAATAGCACTTCGGACGTACGTAAATACTGCAGTTTTTCAAAATTAAATGAAAACGAAAATTATACTTTTACATTAAATCACATCTAAGTTTAACTCAGTCAATATAAAAATAAGAAGATGTGGTATTATTACCAATGAGCCAGTCAGTTCATTTTAATCCATTTCTAAATTTGTTTTATATGTTACAGAACCACGTCGAAAGGATGACCGTGCATTGTCTATATGCCTTGGAATCACGGGGAGCAGTATCGGCCAAATCAAATCTGTCAGACGGAATTGTAGCAGCAAGACAACGTGTGAAAGCATCTGCAAGGGAGTAGATAACAGGTATTGATATGTGGAAGATTACAGTATCAACTACGGGATAAATTGTAAAGAAAATTTCCGAAAAAAAATCATTTAGTGTCAGCTAATAAACTAAGGATAAACGTCAGCCAAAAATGACAATCGAACAAGTAGTATAGCACATTTATATTAAATGAGACTCTTTTAAGTATGAAGTTGCATTTGAAGTGAAAATTCATTTGATGAACAAACCTCGAAGTACTGATAGTTTACTTTCATTTAACAAATAATTCCTGGCACTGAGGGTCATAAGTAAGTTTTTGGACCAAAATGACATTACTGATTGTTGCTTGTTTAACTTCAGTGGCATTTATATCATGCATATTCAGGACGGCAAGATTGACATGCATTATTTGTTTTATCACTCAATGAATTTGAAGTGTTCATTAGGATGAGATTTATAGATTTTTACTGTGAATAAGAATAATATTTTCATTAAGTAAATATTTCAATGAATATCATATTCAAATGGCAAAAGATACTTCATAAAATTTAAATATCATACTCTTATTCTTTTTGGAAAAACAAGGAGTTAAATATCGTGAAATATTCTATGATTTCAGCATATTTACTGGGACATTTTTTCACTCAATGTGTTACTACATAACCTGTTTTGTTTTTCATAAGACAATACTGTGGTACATTATTTGTTAATGTTTATATTCAAATATAATATGTCGTATTCCTCATGAATCGGACTGTCAAGCAGTTTTAACTTAGCTTAGTTTTTCATGTTTCAGTTTGAATTGTTTCAACGCTCTGCATTTATATGGCTACCGTTCATATTCTACTGCACATTTGTATGGATACGGTGGATGTTCTGCCACATATTGTGGTCCAAACTACTGCTGCTGCCACAATTAATATCCAGATATGTCAGTTGGAATTATATGTATTAAAATGTATTCAAGATATTTGAACACAAACTGTTGTTATATCATTATATTGATATGAACTTTTAATGTTAACAGATGTAAATTTAGAAGTTTCAGGGTATTCGAATCAGTTAACTTGAAATACACTTCCTTTTTTTTTTACTTAAAATGCAAAGAAGGAAAATATAAAGATTGCAAAAAAAAGCGAAGAAAATCACGATTTGCAAGTAATTTTTTAACAGTGACCTCAAAGACTGTACATATGTGCTTTGTTGTTTTGTGAAATTATTTCATAGTAGAAGATGCTTATGGTTTATTATCACTATACATTTTTAAGAACAAGCAAATCATCAACCGTAAAAATATTGCCCCAGTTTGTAACACGGTTTCAAAAAGAAGATGTTTTTATTCAAAGACGCAGACATTTTCAATTCCAAATTGACATAAAATACATATCGGAAGCAGATTAAAAAAATTAGCTGATAACTATCATTTCTTTTAGGGCTCGGTCATTGACACCAAACTCTATATATCACCGCAATAGACTGCCTCTCCTAGACGTGAATTATTATACAGAGAGAGGTTGATGAAAAATGACGCCGTTGTGTAACTTTTATTGGGGATTTGACCTATAACATCTGCATTTGTTTGAAGAAAATATAAATATACATGTATTAGTTTACAACATTTTGACCTTCATCCTTCAACTGTTATCCGGACTGATCTTGCGAATTGACTAGGATTTTCAGGTTTTTTTTCTCATTTAACTGGGATCATTTAACTCATAATATTCAATAACGATTTATAAACCCGCGAGATACATGCATATGGGATTATTATGAAATTTTCCATATTTCGGATCATGTTTATGTTCTATTGGCATGCTGTCAATTGTTGTAATGACACATAATCCTGTAAGAAATAAATATGGCAGGGGTAGAATACCTTGATCATACTGCAGGTAATGTTTTGGTTCTGTTGGCATACTGGCATACGTCCTCATGATATTATCGTCCATCAAAGCTTTAGCACGGAAAAGACTAAAACATCCAGGGCTACACAATACACAACCAAACACGTGTTCTGCTGACTTTTGCAACCAATGCCCGATAGCATATTCAAATTTCTGGTACCAAACCACGGGACCTTCAATAAAGTATTTTTTTTACATATTTATATAGATTGCAATAGATACAGTATTTATAGATTATAACATGTCCTTTTCCATATCGGCCTCGGTATCATCCCGAGACTCCCATATCAGCCCGAGGCTTTAGCCGAGGGCCGATATGGGTCGAGGGATGATACCAGGGCCAATATGGAAAAGACATGTTATAATCTACTTATCACATATCTAAGTTCTGCAGAAAAGAGATAAACGTTCAATTATAACTATTTACTTAACCACAACAGGTAAAATCTAATAAAAGATTTTTCACATTTTCCATCAATTTTTTTCATTTACTGCATACAAATTTATTGTAACTTTTCCCCTTATTTTTGAATATGGTAATACACAAACGCGAGAATTTGGGGCTGAATTGATAAAAGTAGGTTGGACATTGTTACTAGTGGCCATTGTAGCAGAATTCTCATAATTTTCAATACAAACACCGTCATTGTTCGCCATTGTCGTTAAGAACGCAATGACGTCACGTCATTTGGAATCGGGGCACAATAACCAACAATCACTTTTTAGCCCCGGGCAACAATATGAGTAGGACTATTTTGCGGTTATTACATATGCAAAACCCAATAGTTTCGTAACAAATATGTGATAATCAAATATATATATATATATACCATTTTTTAGACGTACGTATCCCTTAAACAAATCATGGGTAAAATAGGGACACAAATTGAGTAAAAAAGTATAGGGAACTTGATTAAAATATATAAACATGAACATTCAAAAACAGTGCACCTCAAAATTGAAACAACAAACATGACAAACAACCAGAGCACAAAGTATGTAGTATTGTATAACACGAATGTGTGCTTTTATTTAGAATTTATAAATATTTCAACATGAACTTGAAAAGAAGGAAATAAATATAAATTTCCGTGATATCAAAATAGCGTACAATATCTGAAATATTTCTGTTTAATGTCGACAATTTTAAACGCGATTACGCGAAGTGAATTAAAACGATCTGTTATACGCCAAAATCTTAAGTATCAATATCTCTTAAATTTAATTATTATAAAAATAAGAAGATGTGGTACGATTGCCAATGAGACAACTCTCCACCAGACACCAAATGACATAGCCGTTAGAAACAATAGGTCCATGTACGGCCTTCAACAATGTGCAAAACCAAAACCGCATAGTCAGCTATAAAAGGCCCCGAAATGACAAATGTAAAACACTTCAAACAACAAAACTAACAGCCTGATTTATATACAAATAGAGTAAAATAACAAAAATACCGAACTCCTAGGAAAATTCAAAACGGAAAGTCCCTAATCAAATGGCAAAATCAAAAGCTCAAACACAACATGTTTGAAGACGCCAACCCTCCCACTAATCTGGGACAGTGGTGTAACAGTACAACATAAGAACAAACTATAAAACTCAGTTAAAAAGGGCTTATCAGATCGATACAAAGCAGAAAACCAACTAACAAAAACACAGACCGAACGTGGCAGGGAATTTGTTCATCCCCACAACAACAAAAAAAGACAGATTTGAGAGTACTCACAGTTACTGACAGCTTGTTCAAAGCCAATAACAACTAATAAAAAAATCATGTATCTAAGACCGGCATATAAATAATGATGTTAAGAGGTGTATTACCCAAAAGAGATAAACAAAATATATGCCATTATTTTTCAGTCGACTTCTCAAAATAAGACAAAATTTATATGGTTATTTACTGATGAAAAAATAAAGGCAACAGTAGTATACCGGTGTTCAAAAGTCATAAATCGATTGAGAGAATACAAATCCGGGTTACAAACTAAAACCGAGGGAAACACATTAACTATAAGAGGAAAAACAAAGGAACAACAGGAACACTGAAGTGCAACAAAAACAAACGCCAACATACATAGAAACGAACTATTTGATAACAACTGCCATATTCCTGACTTGGTTCAGGGCATTTTAAGAAAAAAATTATGGATTGAACCTGGTTTAATGGCTAGCCAAACCTCCCGCTTTATGACAATGTTAAAAAATATCGCTAAAATGACAACACTACGTGACAGAAATACAGCACAAACACACGCAAGAACATTCATCACAGAGAAACGCACAAACAAATAATATAATAGTCGACACAACATGCAAACCGAGGAACAACAACGAACATATTCCATCAACGACAAACACCACAGGATATCACAAACAATGACGTGCTTACGTAACTAACATGCAATCTCGAACTTTAAACAATCATTTTCACAATACTCGTCCAAACAATTTTCATGACATTGATGGTATTGAAAGGCAATTTCATAATTATTTGGACTACAAACGATAAGACATAAAATCTATCTGTAAAGAAACATTTAGGTTACTATCAAAAAAGGTCTAGATGTTAGAAGATATGTCTACAGTTAAACGTTGTTATTGTCACTTGTTTCATGCTTCTTGTCAAGTTTATGTGATTTATATATAAAGTGTCTAGAAAATCAACCTAACAATGTTAGAGCAGATTTGATTTTTTACTTCCTCCCCGGCCGGGGCTGGAACCTGTACTTTTCACTTCATACTTCTACGACAACACCGCCTAGCATTGAGCAGACGCCTAATCCCCTCCTCTAACTATAGCTGATAATAATCAGCTTTTGTTTCGGGAGGTGTTACCTTCTCGTAGGAATTAAACAAGGACATCTCACGCAATACACAAAGTATTTTTAAGTGTACAGACATCTCTTCAGTATAATTACAGGATGCTGTTCTATTTTTAGAAGCATACAATCACTGTAAATTTATATATATGTATGTATATATATAAAACGTCTAGATATTAGTCAACAATCTTTCTTACGAGGGCGCTGGATCGATGCGAGTAACGATACATGTACACAATAAATAAATTATATAAACGCCTAAAAAGTGTACAAAACAACACCAATATTAAAAAAAGGAAACAATAAATGTAAGTATCTATAAATATTTCGGATAACTGATATCCTTCATCAGTATGACTATGATGCAAAATAAATCATGTCAATCTATTCTGATTAAACTATAACAATCTTGAAATTTATACAATTAAAACCGAACACAACAACGCTTGTACAATTCTAAAATTTCAAAAATGACGAAGGTTATATAGGTATTTACAAAAGAGACTGCAAATATATGCTTCTAATAAAAATAGTAATGTGCGATATGAACTGGTACATTTCTAAAATTTCAAAGGTGACGACAGTTAAGATATTACAACAAAGACTGCCTACAAATACATTCCCAATGAACAGCACTGACCGATTTGAGCTGGTATAATATTTCAAATTTGACGACGGTAAAGTAATTACAACAGAGGCTGCGTATTTAAACATCCCAAATAAATAGCAGTTTGATAATGATTAAAAAAATGATAATGATAATAATTTTGACAAAGGTTAAGTAATTGAACGTGGCTGCGTACTTATACATATATATACAAGTGCCTAAGAATGTAACTTTAACACACGAATGAATGTTATAAAAATAGTTGTTATATTTTATATATTCACGCAATATTTCGCTAAACAAATAAGCTTCATCAGGCGGGTGCAGCCATCCAAGTAAAAATTGGATGGTGTAAAGAAATTTTTGCAGCTTATTGTACATGTCATTTAAATATATGTTTGCAGCTTATTGTACATTGCGATTCTTAAATCAACTAAATTTAATGTTCGGTTTGTTTATGTAGAGGGCTTAGTTGTTTAACTCTTTTCTCAAATCTTTTTAAAAGATAATGAAGCGTTATGATTTATATTTTTTTGTTTTCTTTTTAATGTTCTGAGCATTGTCTGTAAATGAAGGATTTGATATAAATGATAACCATAGGTTAATTTTAATACCCGACCCTCCTGGTTTAATGCGACCACATGTTGCTCCGACTTTCGGATTTTTCTTCATTCTATCAATCAGTAACTGGAGAGCTTCTGGTGAAAAATCAACATCACCGTCCAAAGCCATGACATATGTATTTTCTGCCTGAAACATATTTAGGGTGTATGCTTGAAGATGTACAATATTTAATTTTGAATGTTTAATACACTGTATATTAAAATAAGACTGCATGTGTAATAGGGGATCACTTTAAGGAACAGAATATTCCAAAGACAAATTAGAAGAAAAAATCTTAAAAATTCAAACATTGAATTAAAATTATGATTTCCTTGAGTATCCGTAGAATATTAAAACTTGATTAACGTTAGGGAATATATTGTATTGATAAAAGAAATGTTGGGAATGAACTGTCATGCACACTAGATATTCTTATCAAAACATATTCTAATTGTATGCTGCTTTGTTAGTTACAGTATGAATATGCCTTACCAAACAAAAATGAAACAAACTCAGTAAAATACCTGTTGAACTATGTCTTTCGGTAATGCGTTGAATAATGATGATGCGCTTTCAAAATCTTCGTCTAAAGGACTGCTTATTTCTTTTTCCACCAGTTTATATCCAAGCAAGTAATACATGTACATTATCTGAAACAATAGATGAATTGATAATCAAAAGATAGAGTTATAAATGAACACCAAGAAGCCCTTTTTATACTTTTAAACTACAAAAACTCTGTCTAAAATTAATTGCCCGAATAGTAAATGATAAAAACATTTGGAATCGTATTTTATATGCAATCGACGTTTAATCACATGCACGATTCGATGATCCAGAATAAATGTTTTGCTGAAAAATCAACACTGAAAATTTAAACAAAACACATTAAAAAATTTAAAACGACAAGGGACATAAACAAAACAACGTTGTCTAAAGTAATTGAAGGAAGGTTTGCTTAATTGTCTTGACTATTTCATCATGGTAAAATAAGAAATCTACGGAAGCCATTTTGATTTGGTAGATCGTTACAAAATATCTGTGTCATATAACGACGGATATGTTTCAACATTTGTCGTAGCCACAATGGCGTCCTCTTTACTTGTTTGTCAAACTCCGAAACAGCGGTTACGTCCTCCTTACTGACGCTACGTTGACTTTAGCGAAGCAACGTCACCACTGTTTCGGAGTTTGCTTGTTTGTTACATCACCGAAAGGGAATTACCACCGGAAATTGCAAAAGCAACACGACATCTTGTGAATAGAAATTATTCAGGCTCTTCCGCGTCACCCGAGTAGATTTCTGTTTTTTTGGGGGGGGGGGGGGGGGGGGGGGGGGGCGAGATTCGCCTGCACAATCTCTTGTTTTAAGTGTATAGTTTTGAGGACTGTTGTCTTTTTTGGCAATGGTTTTGGTCTGTCTTTATCGGCTTATTAGTTTTAAAAGCATCTTCTTCCCTTTTCAACCAAGTCATAAGTTTGTAAGGTTTCGAACATAACTGATTTTTGTTTGTAAATACTTGTAACAATTTAAAAAAAAAAAGACTATTTATAAAACCCACGTTGATGGAGCTTCTATTTGGCAATGTGGAATGTATGAATACGTATCCATTTCAAGTCAGAATCGTATCCGATAGACAAATGAATTGTAAACATTTGAAGGGTGTGTGTCTTTTGTTTTTGTGTTTCAACAAAATAATACTTTTAAAAAAGTTGAATTACATCAAGTAATAAAGCAGCATCAACTGTAGAATCGACACTGTCATCGTGTTTTGTATAGAGTGTATACAACAAACATTAATGCAAAATTTTAATAAAAGACTTTTTTGTGAAGATCTTTTGGTCATCTTTCATTAAGCATTCACACTAATTACAACATAAGCATAGCTGCATTTCGAACTGGTTTAGTGTATAATATTGAATTGTTGTAAATTAGGCCGTTAGTTTTCTGGTCTGAATTGTTTCACATTTTTCAAGTCGGAACATTTTATTGCTGACTATACGGTATGAGTTTTTCTCATTGTTGAAGGCCGTACAGTGACATATAATTACCTACATCCACGTCATTAAAACTCTGATGGTACATCGTCTCATTGTCACTGATACCACATCTGTTTATTCTTATATACGAGTAACTTTCGTTGAGCTCCGCCGAGAATCGCTGGAAGGTCAATAGCAATCAACTTGTCCGCCCGTCCGTCAGTCAAAAATCGTTTCAGCTCTGTAATTTATTTCAGAATGTAAACTAATTTATACATAAGCAAAGCTGCATTTTGAACTGATAAAGTGCATTCCGGTTACTTATTTTGAAACAAGTAATAAGGGCCGTGCAAAAAATCGGCGGAAAGATAATATTAATCATCCTATCCGCCCGTCCGTCACAAATCGTTTTCGATCTATAACCTTAAAATCATTACAGTTCAGCGATGAAACTTGACATGATTACTCAATTGGCAATAGTATTGTGTGTAGCGTAAAAGGAAGAAAAGCTTACAGTAAAGGTCATGATAAAAAACTTAATTAAACTTAGTGAATCGTTTCTGTTCCTTAACTTTTCAATCCCTCGGGATTGGGTAATGAAACTTGGCATGTGAATTCACTCTACTGAGAGGTATGTCAGATACATACATTGAATGTTATGTTCATCTGCTTAATTTAACTTATCCATCTCTGTGCATAGTTAAACTTAGCCTTCTTTGTGCATAAATATCAAAATTGTTTCAGTTCTTTGACTTTAATACCCCTTGCAGTTTTTGATTAATTAGTGGTGTATCTGCATTCTGGGGTATAAAACCATGTTTAAATCGAAAAACCAATCACTGTTTACTTGTTTACTATATCTTGGCCCTCTGTCATGGCTCCAATAACTATCCTTATCTCTTATCTCTTAACGCTATTCAAAAATTTCTTTTTTTTAATTTTTTCCTGACTATTTCTATCATTTTTTACCATACAATTTGTTTTGCATAATCATTTTCGGCCAGAGTTTGTAAAATTCCTTTTTTCAGCGCCAAAATATACATCCAAAAATTTCGGTTTACCTGTGACCATCTTTTCTTGTGCCTTATTTTGTCTTTGTCTTTAAGATGAACCACGAGCTTGTTTTCTCCTGGCAGAGTATAGTTAAGTCTTCCACCATAAGGGGTAACAACTTTGTCCGGAGGTAACATGTTTATCGGAATTTTATATACATCACTGAAATACAGGTAAAGCATAATGTTATTGTTTCAACCGAATGATCCATGAGTGCTTATTTTCAGCATGAAATTTAAAGATAAGAAGTAGCGGTATGGTGCCAATGAGGAAATTACCCACCAGAGACAAAATTACAACTTTAGGTCACCATTTAACAATGAGTATAGCGTATGGTAAGCTATAAAACATGACAAAATGTAAACCAATTCCAACGGCCTGATGTATGCTGACACGTAAAACGAAACAAATACATTTTGGTGTGTGTGTGTGTATGTGAAAAAGCTATGTGTATATCTTTCAGTATTCATTTTTTACATTTTTGATATTGTTTTGGGTAAGTTTTTTGTAGTAATTTGAGTCTGCACAGTTTTAATGTGTAATTTTGGAAATTTTGGACTTTTAATATTTTTCTCTAACATAGTCATACGGTTTAAAGAAAAAAAGAAAAATAAACAATTTACGTTCCAGCTTCAGTGATGATTTCCATTAGTTGTTTCACAAATTCATTTGGCTCCCGTTTCCCTTCTATAGTCTCCATAGAGTCATCAAACAAAATATGAGCTGTTAAAAGAGAAAACAATCGTCAGTACTAACATTACATATAAGGTATAAGGAACCATAAAGTGATAGTCCAACCTTGACTCTTAGCAGTTGTCTTTGCTTTAACAAGGATTTTTTTCACTGCTTTAAGTTATTTTCAGACACTTTTTCTCTTCTGTATTTTCCCCGAAAATTTTACTATTCTTTAATTTCTGCATTATTGTTTACATTACAGTTCAAAAATATATATAATTTACTAACACAGTCATAAAATGTAGTTTTATTTGTTCGAACAGGCGAGTATCACTAAGTTTTTCAGCTGCTTCGTGGTGAGTATACAACACATTATAATATTATAATATATATATTTCGACAATGTTAGTATAAAATTGAGAATGGAAATGGGGAATATGTCAACTGAAGAGACAACAACCCGACCAAAGAGCAGACAACAGCCGAAGGCCACCAATGGGTCTTCAATGCAGCGAGAAAATCCCACACCCGGAGGTGGTCCTCAGCTGGCCTCTAAATAAAATTGTGTGCTAGTTCAGTGAAAATGGACGTCACACTTAACTCCAAAACATATAAATGAACTAAAATGAAAAAACATACTAAACTAACAAAGGCCAGAGGCTCCTGACTTCGGACATGCGCAAAAATGCGGCGGGGTTAAACATGTTTTGTGAGATCTCAACCCTCCCCCTATACCTATAGCCAATGTAGAATAAAGAAACACATAGCAATACGCACAGTAAATCTCAGTTTAAAAGAAGTCCGAGTCCGATGTCAGAATAGGTAACAAAAGAAACTAAGCAAAATAACAATGATACATAAATGAACAAAGGACTACTAGCAGTTACTGACATGCCAGCTCCAGACCTCATTTAAACTGATTGAAAGATTATGTCTTCATCATATGAAAATCAAGTACAATCCCTCCCGTTAGGGGTTTAGTATCATACCATCATAAAATATATGAGAAGAACATAACCCGTATCATGCCAACAACTGGTTTTAGAATAAATGTGTTTATTTCCGATGCAAAGACCCTATGAGTGAATCAATATTAATACCAAAATATGAAATCCTTAATGACTTGACAACAGTATCGTACATGTAACTATATCCTTTCCGAATAAGTCTTTTAAAGGTTTGGTTAGCTTTTGAGGTGAATGCCGACATTTTTGTGCTTTGTAAAGAATATTACCATAAAAAATTGGATGTGAAATACCTGAACGTATAAGATGTCTGCATGTTGATTTATATTTACGAATGATGTCCTTGTACCGATGATAAAATTTAGTAAATGTTTTGACTAGTTTGTGATATCGAAAACCCTGGTGTAATAATTTTTCAGTAATACAGATTTCTTTCGTTGAAATCAAATACGTTGTTACATTCACGAGTATATTTTTTTAGCTTGCGTTTAATTCTTTCATTCTGTATCCTTGTCTTTGGTGTTTTTTTTTTAAAGAAATCATCCACACAAATATAACCACAGAAGAAGAAAACCTCAAAAATATTTAGTTATGTTGAAAGAGTTTCTAAAATCTGTAAAAAAGTAATAGTTTGTCCCACTTTATTTTATGTCTATTTCAAGCTTGAATAACCTTCAAATCTGTAATAGTCTCTGTTGATAGCATCTTTGTCCAGTTTTGAACCGAACAGACTACGATTAGTTGGAACTTTAACTTCATATTTGGCAATTTCTCTTGCTGCTTGGTCCATATCTAACCTACAAAAATGAAATTTGATAATACTGTGTCAGCAAGCAAAGATACAAATGTCTAATTATCAAAACAAGAGATATATGCAAAGATACAAATGTCTAATTATCAAAACAAGAGATATATTATCTACTGTTAAATTTGTATGCCTTTGCTGGCAATTGTATGTACTAGATGAAAGTCCAGTTTAAAGTAAAGTAGCTAAAATGTATTTAACGATATAGCTTTAAGAAATCTATATTTAAAATTGGTATCAACATCAAAAAGTATAGTGAACTGTAGTGAACTGAAGTCAGTGTTAAGAAAATTGAGACAAAAACATGCATGATATTAAAACGAAATCAGTGACGTTTGTTCGTCACAGAAAATTTATTTTCCCCAGACCTAGAAATGCATTATGCAGTGCAACTTATCTAGATATAGGTTGACAAAATATCGATCAGTTGACAGGGACCGACGGATGCATGCACAGAAGTATGAGGTATATTCTTAACATTTTTAACACAAAAAACAGAAAGACTAAAATCAATGCGGTAGTAACCGACATCAACGATTGAGAATATTAAATGACTGAAAAGGGCGGAAATGGGTACAAAGGTTATTCGCATAATTATTGGTGTAGCGATTGTAAAGCAGCTGTCTTTTTGCGGGTAGGTAAATAAAAGGTGTTCTATATTTATTGATTAAAACATCAAACCGAACTAATATGGCTTGAATATTTCAATGGTTTCGTCAGTGTGATAAAGAAAACCATCGTACACTATTGCTTTGGCTATAATTTGATTAAAATCAGATCTTTTATTTTACTCCGTTAGACTTGTTTCTCGCGACAAACAAATTTAAAGGAGCTTAGTACTCAGAGTACAGAATTTGTGCTCGAAACACCTTATTGCTTGATTTTCTAATCTGAATACGATAATCATACTCCAAAATTGTATTACTGTAATAAATTCTGATTCTAATCTCATGATTCATGTCAACATCTTATTTAAAACTTTCAAACTGAATGGATAATCAAGAGTTAAAAATAGTTGTAAAGCATAACCATCTTGGTGTCTTTTTTCGAATAAAGGAAGCTGGAATGACCATATTGAATAAATTATTATAAAATCATACAAAATAATAAACATAATGAGGAAAGTGAAAAATATACTTGACAGGTTTACTCTTGTAAAAAAATATATATAATTTATTTGATCTGTATTAGAATATGCAGATGTTGTATGGGATTCACAAAATCAAAGTATAATCAATAAACTTGAGAATATCCAGCTCGATGTAGCGCGGATTGTTACAGGGAGGACCAATCCAATAATTATATTGAAACTAAATGGGAAAAATTGTCCGAAAGCACATCCAATCATAAATTAGTCCTTTTTCATAAAATTTTGAACAACAAAACACCAGATTAACTTAGAGACGCTATGCCCGATTCATTTGGAAGTAGACATGACCATTACAATGTAATAATGTTATTCAATATAATACACAGACCCGTTTATACTCAAAGTATTTTTCCCAGCGACAACCAAGTTATGGAACAGACTACATTTAAACGTAAGAAAATGTGAATCTCTTTCAATTTTTAAGAAACAAATTTGTTCTCAAAATAGTAAAGTCCCTACTTATTACTATGTAGGAAATAGTAAAGTCCCTACTTATTACTATGTAGGAAATAGTAAAGTCCCTACTTATTACTATGTAGGAAATAGTAAAGTCCCTCCTTATTACTATGTAGGAAATAGTAAAGTCCCTACTTATTACTATGTAGGAAATAGTAAAGTCCCTACTTATTACTATATAGGAAATAATAAAGTCCCTCCTTATCACTATGTAGGAAATAGTAAAGTCCCTCCTTATTACTATGTAGGAAATAGTAAAGTCCCTCCTTATTACTATGTAGGAAATCGATTTGGACAAGCTCTTCAAGCTCGCTTAAGGATGAACTCTGAGTTCATTAAATTCTCATCTATTTCTTCGGAACTTAGTAGACTCTCCAAAACAGTCGTTGTGGTGACTTCTCATTTTCTATTATCCTGTCCAATATATACCAATCTAAGACAGAAACTTCTGGCTTTAATTTCAGATTTTCCAGTTCAGTTTGACATTAATACCTTGCTATTTGGTTCAACCGTACTATCGGACGAGCAAAACAGCCTTTTATTTATTTCGGTACAGAAATATATATCATAAAAACAAACGATTCAATCCTTGATGCAAATGCTCGATCATTTATTAAACCTAAGCATTCCATTCTGCACACACTCTATACTATTTACCACGTTTATTCAGTATTTATTATGAAACTTCAATATCTTATTTTTTTTTAAAAACTGACTATTTCAGAACATGCCATACTTACATGATAATGACCATATAAGAAATTTAATTGTATACTAGGAGACAAATTAATAAAAGCAATTTTGCTTGTTTCTTAATCCTATTTATTTATTTCATGTATCAAAATTATATACTATGTACTGATTTATTCAGTTGAATAAATATTGTTTAAACTAAACTGAAATTTCTTTGAAACAAAGTACCACCTTCAAATGTAGCGTAAAGAGGAAAATTGTGGTAAATTTATCATAATTATGTTAACTTGTACAATTCTATTAAATCTTGTAAAGAAATTGTCCCATTCAATGGTCTTCACTATTATCTTGATTTGTCATGTCTTTGAGCAAACAATCTGTGGTCTTATCTTTCCGTATATTTATTGAAATGAAAAAAATCTATGTTCAATTTCCCCTGCATGGTTTTGCAATGGAGTAATTTACAATTCTCAATAATTTAATTTTGGATGTAACGCGTCTTCTGATTGGCTGACGTTGTTTTGTTTATCAGCTCATAGACATAATTTTGTCATGTGACCGTGACGTCATTAACGTTTTTTCATGGTTTACTCCGGTTTAAAATGGAATTTAGAATTAAATTATAAGAAATGACTGTAAAAATTTTTCTGTCTATTTGAAATAAAATAAAAAATGTGGTGCACACTTTAAAATAACCCGTTACGCGGGTTATTCAGTGTGCACCACATTTTTGATGTTATTTCTTCATAGACAGAAAAAAAATTACAGTCATTCCTTAAATGTCAACAGTTAACGTTATTCTATACTTTCTTTTGTTTTTAATTTATGCATTTTTGAATATGTTCAACTACTAGATTTTAATTAAATTTATTCCATAATATCGTTTTTCTTGTGATTTGCATCAAAAGTTAGTTCAATGATTTCCATAAATTGTTCGTAGTAGTATCGCTGCTGGGTGTGACAAGATGAAAATGTCCCATCATTTAACGCAAGCTTACATTTGGGTTTATCTTCATTTTGTATGAGGTCATTGTTGTTCAATAATATGAGGCAGGCGTTACCTGTGAAAGGGGACGAAGAATTATTTTTTTTAATTCAAACATATTTTATCTTCAAAATCTGTTAAAAAAGAAACGGAAATACCGTAACGTTTCCGATTTTGGTTCTGTTGTTAGGGATTTTAGTTGTGACGGTAGTTTACTTATGACGTCATATTCGATGTAAACAAAGAAACGCTATCATCAGGTAACGTTTTTTCATATCAAAGAATAATTAGAAATGAAATTGTTATTGTGTTCCTTCCTATATTTGACTAAACTGATAAATATATATTTCACTCAAAGTCTCATGACACACGAGACCGGAAGAAGGAAGTAGATTTCTGCGCAAATGCGGGAATTAAAAAAAAAGTTAATGATTTTGAGTTCATTAGTACAATGAAAATTTCGGGAAATTTTCCCCCTTTTTTTTTTTTTTTTTTTTATTGATTTTTCTACTGTAATAGGGGACTTCGTCCCCTTAATATGAGACAGGCGTTACCTGTGAAAGGGGACGAAGTCTGTATGAATTATTTTTTTTTAATTCAAACATATGTTTTAACTTCAAAATCTGTTCAAAAAGAACGGAAATACCCTTACGTTTCCGATTTCGGTTCTGTTGCTCGGAATTTTAGTTGTGACGTTATTTATATTAAGTCAAGTCATTCAAGGAATTATTAAAAATGGAATTGGTATTGCGTTCCTTCCTATATTTTACTAGACTGATAAATATATATTTTACTCGAAGACTCATGCAAACGAGACCGGAAAAAGGAAGTAGATTTCTGCGCAAATGCGGGAAAATAAAAAAAGTCTGAAAATAAAAAAGTTAACGATTTTGAGTTCATTAGTACAATGAAAATTTCGGGAAATTTTCCCGATTTTTTTTTTTTTTTTTTTTTTTTTTTTATTGATTTTTCAACCGTAATAGGGGACTTCGTCCCCTTATAAATCGGTCCCAGATTTGATTCAAAAATGGAACGAATTATTTTTTATTTCACTATTAATATGAGGCAGGCGTTACCTGTGAAAGGGGACGAAGTCTGTATGAATTATTTTTTTTTAATTCAAACATATTTTAACTTCAAAATCTGTTCAAAAAGAAACGGAAATACTATTACGTTTCCGATTTAGGTTCTGTTGTTCGGAATTTTAGTTGTGACGTTATTTATGTTATGACGTCATATTCAATGTTTTAACAAAGAAACGCTATCAGATAACGTTTTTTCATATCAAACCATTCAAGGAATTATTAAAAATGGAATTGGTATTGCGTTCCTTCCTATATTTTACTAGACTGATAAATATATACTTTACTCAAAGACTCATGCAAACGAGACCGGAAAAAGGAAGTAGATTTCTGCGCAAATGCGGGAAAATAAAAAAGTCTGAAAATAAAAAAGTTAACGATTTTGAGTTCATTAGTACAATGAAAATTTCGGGAAATTTTCCCGGATTTTTTTTTTTTTTTTTTTTTTATTGATTTTTCTACCGTTATAGGGGACTTCGTCCCCTTAATATGAGGCAGGCGTTACCTGTGAAAGGGGACGAAGTCTGTATGAATTATTTTTTTTTAATTCAAACATATGTTTTAACTTCAAAATCTGTTCAAAAAGAACGGAAATACCCTTACGTTTCCGATTTCGGTTCTGTTGTTCGGAATTTTAGTTGTGACGTTATTTATATTATGACGTCATATTCAATGTAAACAAAGAAACGCTATCAGGTAACGTTTTTTCATATCAAGTCATTCAAGGAATTATTAAAAATGGAATTGGTATTGCGTTCCTTCCTATATTTTACTAGACTGTTAAATATATATTTTACTCAAAGACTCATGCAAACGAGACCGGAAAAAGGAAGTAGATTTCTGCGCAAATGCGGGAAAATAAAAAAGTCTGAAAATAAAAAAGTTAACGATTTTGAGTTCATTAGTACAATGAAAATTTCGGGAAATTTTCCCGATTTTTTTTTTTTTTTTTTTTTTTTTATTGATTTTTCTGCCGTAATAGGGGACTTCGTCCCCTTATTAAATCAACCGCAAGCAAAAAACCAGAGTGAACAGGAGATAGGCATTGTATCTATTTCCGATGTATCGACCTCTTTGCTTTATTCTTAACTCTGTGTTTGGGTCACAGGTTAATCCCGAAAGGAAATTAGACGTACATAATTTCTAGTGTTATTTTCATATACTTGGTCTTTGTAGAGAATCAAAGCTTACAAGTGGAGTACAGGCTTGTCAAATATACAGGTCTGGCGTTTTGTACTTTCATCTTGCCGTCTCCTTTTTCTGTGCTGAAAAAAATCACACTATAGCCTTTCTGACCAGAGTCAAGAATGTTTCGTCTTTCGACCAAACAAACGGGGTTGAATTTAAGGTTTTATACACAAAAAAAGCAATTGACCGACGGGGCCCTAATAAATGTAAAAAGAACGGCTTAACATTTAAATACCTAAACAAAGTTTTCATAATCTGCTTCATTTCGGTTCTATTTTCATGCCACATCGTTGCACATATATAGACTTTCGTGGGTATAGATTCCTCGTATTTCTTAGACTCTGTTGTACCGGAAACTATCCTCCTGCTGTGTAATAAAGATATATCCGCTATCGGACTGCAGTAATGGGGTAAGACAAATAATCTGATAATAACCAAAAAAAAAACATGTAATAACATTTGAAATATAAACGTTGAAACATGTATGTAATTAAACAATTTTTTCAATTTTTTTTTTTTTTTTTTAAATTTACTAGAATTGACATCTCTTGCATGTACATATAGTTGACGTCATGAGCTGCGACTCTTTTCACAAAAACTACAACTAAGTGAAAATGCTCGTAAGTCATGACCATTTCAGTATAACTTGCGATCAATTTTAATCGTAAAATTTTTCAGAGAAAATATTCGCTAATAAATGGCGCAAGAGTTAAGTGATCATAATCCACATCTTCTTAATGGATTCCAAGTACCAATTTACCAGTAGATCATACGCCCGTAATGCATTATATTTGGCTAATGATATGTGCAGGCAACCATCGCGACCATTTAGAAAGACAGCTAAATAGAAGGTCTAACAATACAAATATGTTATTGGCGCATTATGCCATTTGTTTACTTTTTAATCTTCCAAATTTGGTTAACCGGGCTATTTTGTAGCTGACCGTAAGGTATGATGCTTATCTTTATTTTTCCTCAAGACTTACACATTTGTGAATATTTTCAACAGAAACGATCAAATCTGCATTCGACACAAAATTCACCAAATAACAAAACATTCAGATAAAACAAAATGCAACCTGGAACTAACAATGTTCCTATCTTAGGACAGACACATACACTTGTTGTTGGGGTTATACCAGTATCATTATTATCATTATTAGTTAATTTCAAACAGTCCACCTTTAAAATCTCCACCAGTTATTCATTTTCTCGCTAACTGATCTAAAATCATGCCATATTCTTATAAGTATATTTTCATTAAACTTTACATCGATAGAAAATTAACTTACTTGTATTCAAATGTTAGCCTGTTGTGTGGGCTGTACCAAATATGACGGCAAATCCACAACTGCGATAACCATGCTATGACGAAAATGGCGACCATTACGTATAAGTCCATATTTTCAACATCTTTAATGAAAGTATTAGATATCCAGTTGTCGTTTACTCGAGATATCAAAATTATCCCAACATATACTGGAGCACCTAAAGCTAGTGCCACACAGAAACAAATCCGATCCATGCAAACTTTAGTGGCTAATACTGCAGCATAATACAGCCCCATACATACAAAGAAATGAACAAGGAACGGTGTCATGAGAGAAGGATCCGCATAATGCGTGCATCTAGTACTGTTCAACTGAGATATTGAACATTCAATGTGAAGTTCTGGTTCTATTTCGAAAGCAATTTCTGGTCGATGGATATTTTGCGCAAAATAAGTGGGAAACAGAATGACAATGAGAACAAGGCGACAGAAGCTAGTCACTAGTGTTGACGCACAATGTGTTTCAATTCTATTCTCATAAGCAAATAGTGTTTTAAACACCCTTGATGTACTAGAATACTTGAAATATGTCTCAAACCATCGAACACTCACAAGAACTGAAGAAAATATCATCCAGAATGTTTCTTCCGTCGTTATCTGGTCTTTGAAAATTTTATAAAGCGGGACTGCACATACTGCTGCTGCTTGCAGTAAAATTGAAAGAACATTAATGATTTGTTTACAAAATCTCTTGGTACATTTCCTTCGGTATGAAATTGTATGAAGAATCGACGGAACCAATGGCATTCCAGCCAAAAAAGCACACACTTCAATAGAGTTAAGTTTTGGCATAACCACGAAAACGATTATTGCTAAGCAAAACATGTGTAGGCATTCTTTGACAACCATCTGGAATAAATTATAGGCAACACATATGAACAACTAGTTGGAAACCTTTTAGAAAGTTCATGAAATATGACCGACTGGAAACATTTCGTTATACATTTTTTTCTTTAAGTCAACATCATCAGCATCATCGTCTATACTGGTATTTGTTTTAGTTATATTTTATGTCAGTTGTTAAAATACTAAGAAATTAACTCATTCATTTGTGTTTGTTTAAATACTAAGAAAAGAACTCATTCATTGGTGTTTGTTTGAATACTTAGAAAATAACTCATTCATTTTGTACTCACAACAATTATCTGTGCTATAGTTGGTAAAGCACGTTTTCCAAATACAAATCTAAAGAAAGACAGCAGTAGCTTTACAGCATCGGGAATCGTCAAAATAAACAGGAGATAATAGGCGATAGCATCTTTTGCCAAATTTAACTAAAATGTAAATGTAATATGTAAAAACAAAATGAGATAAAAATCTTTTAGTCAGTTGCCAGTATTTCAGGACTATTACGTTTCATTGAATTCTTTTTCTTTAACATACTATTTATTGATTCTGATGGTTATGTCAAACTTTTCTAGATTCAAGGCGATTTAGAACTTGACATATTAATTTATAAACGATTGTTTATTGTTGAAGACCTCTAGATTTTCTTTGTTTCAATTATTTTTAGTAAGGTCGTCGTATTGTTGCTGTCTCATTGACGTATACCCACGTCTTTTGATGACATAGTATTTATTCTTCATGATCGAGTTTTAACTATTTTCTGTCAAGCTTCATATGAATTTATTGAAAAGTGAAGTGAATCGACCATGCCTCTTATTTCGTATTCGTGGATTTGATAGTTACCATTCATACCAAATACAAGCATAACACAAATCTGAAAAGAATCAAATTCAACTAACTGAAAATCTTGATTTCTTTTCTTTGTTGAATTCATTTGTGAGGATTTGAAGTGAAGCTTTGGTGACGATAGATCCTCCAAATACAAGTACGAAGAACACTATGTATGCCGCTACTTTTACAACCCTTAGTAAAGTATCGGTTGCTCTGGACGTCTTTTCTTTTTCGTTTTCGGAAACATCCTTTCGGAATATATCCCAGTAATTCATCTTTCCATTCGATAGTCCTCTGGAATATAAAGTTAATCAAGGAATATGTCAGATGCAGTATGCAACGATTGAGTTTCAGGTATAAGAAATAACTACCCTTTTTGGTTGATTTGTCAGATTTAAACTGCAATCTGTATTCTGAATCCTTAAAAAAATATTTAACTGGGCATCTTTACCTTTAAAAGCAACCTTTATAATAATGTAAAATGCATACATTGTTTTGCTAGGAAATTATGAGAGTATTCACATATGAAGAGAGCAATCTTGTCCTTCAGATCGATCCAATAATATTCAAAAGTTTTTTGTACAGATATCAGTAAGCTTTAGGTATATATTTTTCAGGCATCATAAATAATTCTTCTTTATTTACATTTAATTAATATTTTTTTCCTCATTTTTGCATTTTTTAGTTAAGGTGACAGCCATGTTTAATCGTTGTTGGGGTTATAGACCACGCCTGTTATAGGTCATAATTAACGTAAAATCTAACTAATGTTTAGTTAAAATGGTCGTTACCTCCTACGTCATTTAGTCTCTGGTCGGGAGTTGTCTCATTGGCAATCATTCCACATCTACTTATTTTTGTTTTTAGAGGAGTTTCAGAATGTTTGTCCAATTTTTATATATATGTATACAAGCAAAAATAACTAAGAGTCTCCTTTTCTCAGCTCTAAAGACTGTTTTATAAAGGAACCTCTTTTTTTTCACTTGGTTTATATTTGAAGGATTTAGCAGGACTAAATTTTTTTCTGTATCAGACAGATTTGAAAATAGAGGATTATCTATTGCGATGTCATTAAAAAGTTTAGTACGTAATATTTTATTATTTTAAATTAGGATATCTAAGATAAAATTCTTAGTCTTGTTTGACTTTAATGCTTTTATAAAGGAAAGTTTATTATTTTCGTTTAAACTATTTATTATATTTTCCAGTAATTCTGAGTAAAAATTGCTTGAAATATTCTTAATCCAAGTCTTGTTTTTTTACGACTTTCATATTTTGACAGGAAACTACTTTTTGTATATCAATAGTCATTTCTTGTGTAGAAACTTTAATGAAAGTGGACCATGAATAAACTCACTGTGAATCAAGGTGTTTACTTAATGTATAACTTTCTTTTAGTAATGAGTTTATGTTTTCAGTATTTAATATAGCCAAGTAAAGGATTGCTTGCGTTTTTCTATATTTTTCTATTGGTTGTCTACCAAGTTCAGCTTTAACCCCTAAAATAGAAGACGTCTTTCTGGTACCTAGATTATATTTACGGAAATTAACATGGACCTTTTCAAAAGGAGTCTTGTCCAAATATTGGAAATCATCTATATCTTTGTTTTGGGATTTTAATCTGCCTTATAATAAGAATGATATGTATCCATATATGATATTTCTGCATTATATGTCAAAATTGGCTTAATACGAGAATCAAAGAGATTACAGAATTTACATTAGCAGGGAAATTTCCCCAAAAGGCTGCATAGATGTATACTTCATCCAAAGTATGGTAGACATTGTCACTTACAAGATTTTTTTCAGAATTTTATTTTGCCTTTTTTGTCTGATCACCCGTATTTTTGAGATATAGGAGTAGTCACGTTTGAAGGCGAATGGGATCATCTGCGTTAATTTCTGAATGTGTATTATTTATTTATGATTTAGCCGAAGTTGTTTTGGCGAATTACCTTTACCATGTTTTATTTCAAGATTGTTTTATTATTTTTTGTCAGTTGTCATTTTTAGTAGGTTTGGCGTCCATACATTCAGTCCGTTGGGATCACAATTGGCTTTGTGCATAGACCTCCTGTTTTCTTTTCCTGTTTGTGTTATTTTTTTTGTATTAAATATTCCATAATATCTACACTGATTTAGTATGTTTTTGCTCTTATCCATACGGTAATACAAAAAATAGAAGTTTATATATTCTGCCAATGTCGACCAAAATGCTTTATAAATGAGTTTTGGTTTTATGTTGTTGGGTTTCTGTCTCTTTGACCCTTACAACACATTTTCTTTGATGATATTCTATAGAATTTGAATGTTTTGTTTAATTGTATTGTGTTGTTGTTTACTCACGTTTTAAGTGTTAGGCTTCTTAAACTGTTAATCTCGAGTCGGGTGCACCTGTTGAAGGTTATAAGTTATATCGGACAAAATTTAGTATTTTAAACATCTGAATCTATATTCTTACTTGTTTCTTTTTCTTCCTTGTTCCTCACTTTCCATTGTGTTTTGAGCTTTTTGTCAAGTATAAGTGTATTGTCCCTTTGCTTAACAAAAATCGTTAAGGTCTTAGATTACTCTGAAATGGATATATAGAAATGTGGAAAAAAGTATATTAATAACATTCATTACAAAAGTCAACTTATTTGATTAGATATATATTTATGTTTGAAAATTAACTCACAATATTGCAATATTTAATCATTATGAATAACTTTGTAAGTTAACCGACATTTGACATGATCATACAATATTAGCAACTATGGGGTAGTCTAGAAAATGATTAAAGGCCATAAGGATACCAAAAATACTGCTTTGCTACTTGTGAAACCAAACTCATTTAAAAATCATATGTACAAGCGACGAGAGGGCATTTGAATTTGAAATTTGAAATTAATCCGTACTTTAATTAGCATGAATCATAAGAATTGAAAAAAACACATAATGCGTAGGGGACAACCATTTAATTTTCTGGGGTGGGGATAGGATTTTGAAAAATAATAACAAGGCCTGGTAAGAAAATCAACAACTTTGCACAAGAAATGACCCCATCCCCAAATATAGAATGGTCGTCCTAAAATCGAAGTACTGAAAAATGTTCTCTACTAGATGATAGTTATCTACATATTACCATGGCAACAGACCTCGGATCGATGCTTTTATTATAGAAAGTAAATTAAAGTATCTTGCACCTAACAAACATGATGCGTAATTATCCACTACATCTGGCTTTATCATAAGATTAAATATTTATAACAGTTATTTTTTTTAAAATGAAGATTAATATAAGTTGAAGCATAGTCTATGACAGTACAACAATTTCAAGTTCGTCAGTAGAAGGAATCCCTGCAATGTTAAATCGTCACTGCATATATCGTTTTATTGCAAGTGTCAACTATGTCTAGCTTACTCCTGAAGAGCACAAATAGAATGATACATCATATGTCAATTTTAGTATTAACGTCTGCAAAGTGGATGGAACAGAAAACAACGAACAGGAAATTTGGGCCTGCTGAAACGAAGCGTCGGTTTAAACGTCCTATTTCTGACCGGACGTGGCAAGCTTTATACATCCAGCAGTATCAAACCGATGCCCCTTAAGTATTGGTCTAACTTTCGAAGTATGGAGTACAGGTAAACATAGTTATATAGTCCAGTCACCTTTGGACTAAGGGAACGACCATTTGATAATCTAGTATGTTTGGATGAGGATTGGGGTGGTGGAGGGCAAGAAGATTTTGTTCTGACGGAAAATTCAATTTCGCCTTTTGCTAGTCCCGATCATTTTTGTACACATTTATGTCATGTATATTGTTGAGTAAACTGATAATTTTCTTTCTGTTTTGAGCATGATATTATATTTTCAGTTCTTTCTAGGCCAGATTATTCATTTTCAAAATCCTCCGACGACGACGAATATCAAAGGATCGTCCCCCAACGCTTCACATTCCACCACAAGTGATTGTTTTGCAAACGCCATTAGTTAAACCAGCACACAAGATAATCTCAATTGCATTCTAAGTTCCTGGACTTAAAATTGGTGTATAATAGATTGAGTGCAGTCAAGGATTTTTATAATATGATCTTGCTATCAAAATTCTTGGTGCAATACAGAGAAAATGCAATAATGATATTAAAAGAGGTTGGGTTACAATAACCTGGTTTAAGGTAGATTTACTTTTATCGCCATCTTGTATGGTAAAATAGCAGTATACAATTGGTCAAGTTCTTAGCTTAAATCTGCAAATTTTGAATGGTAATTTAGGTGTATAAGACTTTACTTGTAGCAAGAAAACAAGTACGGTGACACCATTTTTGTCTTTTTCTTTTTTTTTTTCTTTTTTTTTAGTAAACATGTTATAAAATTATCTTCTCACATTTTGTTTCAAAGTTCTATATGATAGGTTTCTTTCTATTCACAAAAAGTTTACGCTGACCAATACTGTTTGTTATATTTTCGAAAAAAAGCATTGTAAAATCTACATTTTGGCAGAGTATAAGAAAATTCTATCTGAGGAAATACCGTATTTAGTTATGATTCACAAAAACTCATCAATATGAAATGCATGCAGCATACAACATCTTAGATAATCACATCTAGCAAACATTTCAAAAGGAACATTTAACCCACTAACGTTCTAGAATGTAAATAGAATGAAAAAGTATCTGCGTGTTGAAAAAAGTATTCAATAATTCATGACCTGTACTAATGCATTGAACCATACATGCATTTTCTACATACACAGTATAAAAATAAGGAGATGTGGTATGATTGTGTTCATTTCTTAGTGATTACATTTGCAAAGATAAAACCAGTATTAACTACACGTTCTATTTTTTAGAAAATAATTCCTTCAAATATTAATGACCTCTCAAAATATTAAAATTTAAAAATGAAATTACTTTCAATACCATAAATTCGAATACAACTGACAAACAAGTTAATAAAAAAAAAAATCGTAAACTACAGACCGATTGACATCAAGATGCGTGAGAAAAAGGAATCAGAAATTTTATGCAATTCAAAAATGATAAAAGTATAATTATTTATTGACGGAATTTTTCCTGACGAATTGTATGTTTCACATTTTGCTAAATATAATAATCTGAGAAACAAATTATCAAAAACTCCTATTATAAATTACTTACCAATTCCTTTTTTGTTTGGAAGATGCAAGAATGAATCCGGAAGTTTATTTTCTTTAATACGACGCAAACTGTATAGACGATCTCAAACTTTTGTCAACGGAGTAATTCAATTCCATTCAAAAACATACTTGAGAGGTGATCTATAAGGGTTTTATAAATTATTTTACATTCTTGACTGATTTTTGCAAGTTATGATAATTATTTTTTTTAATTATAGTATATCATTATTCCCCGCATTAATAGTTTTAAACAGTTGTAATTCTTTGTTCAATCTGACAATATGTACCTTTAAAGATTTAAATCATTCAACCTTCAACACTTTTTTTTATTGACATTTTTCGTTTGGTAAATATGTTTTTGTCGTCTGTGTCCTTCAGATATTGTAGCTGATGTGCAGTTCTATACATGTTATAGGGAAACAATTTAACAAAAGGTGAATTGTTACACAATATAATGTATTGTTATCTCACTTTTTGCATGGAAAACGAGATCGATTGTTTTATTCAAATAATACAACTGCGCAGTTTCTACAGTTTTATATGTTGTGTTTTGTATACCGATATTTATCTTTTGATCTTTTTTGTTCTTTTTATTTTGTCATGGCATTGTCAATTTTTTTTCGATATATGAGTTGAATGTTCCTTTAACATATCTGTAGCCTCTCTACAATCAACAAATTCTCCAAATACAAAACAAAATATTATTAAGACATTACATAAGGCAGTAAGTTGTGAATCTTAAGTTGTTGATTAGCGAAGAATTCAATTGATCAAAATATGTCAACTCTGCTTTTCAGCGACACAATAAAATACCTCATAACTAAATAAAAAATCACTTTTAAATGATCAATTCAATTTAAATATATTAACCGACCAAGAACTCGATATAAATGCACAATGAAAGTATATATAGCCATAAGAATTTAAATAATTCCAACAAAACAATGTTCATTGTTTCATATTTTGTTGTTGTTTTGGTTTTATTTTACATGTTTTAACGAATACGTAATGTTTTAAATGTAACAATTTATGCAAATACTTATATCAATTACTGAATCTTTTATCTTTTACAATGAGTACTATTGTACTAAGAAGAACATTGATAAGCAATGTGGGTGGAAATCCTAGTATTTTCCTTCTATATTGAATTTATCTGCGCGTTAATCGTTTTACATTTTGACGACATTGATTTTAAGTGTAATGAAAAACGCGGTAAATTGTTTCGTGAAAAAATAAATATGTTAAACAGCAGAAAAACTGGTTACAAGATATTATCTCCCTTTAAAAGAACTCTGACGCTTTAAATGTTCTGTACAATATAATTGATGAAAACAAATAACAATGAATGACACAGGTTGATCACGTATTATTATTATTTTGCTATCATCGTAACAAACGAATGCATTTAGCAATTTATAGTTTTGTGTAAAACTGAGTTGCAAACAAATTTTTAATGTACCAGCCGCATTAAATATTTTTCTAAAAAACCTCATTTTTTCGTACATACAGGAAGGTTGATAAGAGGAACTCAAGAAAATAACAAAATTGAACGCTTATTTGCTAAATACCAATGTGACAATAAGATTCGCTAAGGTTTCTAATTATGAAACGACATGCACTATTTAGTTTAGACTGCTCTATGTTTTAGTGTTATTAACTCTTTGTCTATCTTCTGTTTATGTGCTTACTTTTGGCTAGTTTGTTTAAAAAGGTGTACTTTTAGTCTAGCCTATGTTTCAGTTTGTATGGTTGCCTGCATTTGTCTCAGTTGTTCCTTTTTGCATATTCTTTGTTTAAATGTGTACTTTTAATCTAGTCTATATTTCAGTTTGTATGGTTGCCTGTATTTGTCTCAGTTGTTCCTTTTTGCATTATCTTTGTTTAAATGTGTACTTTTAATCTAGTCTATATTTCAGTTTGTATGGTTGCCTGTTTTTGTCTCAGTGTGTATTTTTTGTATATTCTTTGTTTAAATGTGTACTTTTAGTCTAGTCTATATTTCTTTGTTTAAATGTGTATTTTTAGTCTAGTCTATATTTCAGTTTATATGTTTTGCTTGTAATTGTCTCCGTGTTTCCTTTTGTCTATTCCTTGTTTAGTGTTTTGTTTCAATCAGTGTTTACCTTTTTTTCTTTGTTTTCATTTTGTTTATTTTTGTTTCAATCAATGGTTACCTTTGTTTGTTCTCTGTTTTATTGTTACTTTTTATCTGTTTTTTTTTCAATCAATGTTTACCTTTGTTTGTTCTTTGTTTCCGTGTTTACTTTTTGTCTGTTTTTGTTTCAATCATTGTTTGCCTTTGTTTGTTCTCTGTTTTGGTGTTTGCTTTTTGCCTGTCCCCTTAACTTGCTTGGGTTTCCTTCTTTTTTTTTTCCTATTCTCTGTTTTTGCTCAATACTATTCGAAATAATAATTAAGATGTGGTATGTCCACCAGAGACCAAAAGACGAATATGTTAGCAACTATCATCGCTGTACGGCCTTCAACAATGAACAAACCCCATACCGCATACCAAGCTATAAAAGGCCCCGACATAACACAATGTAAAATTATTCAAATGAGACAAAAACCAAGTTTGAAATACAGTTACAAATGAAAACCAATGAATTACACGCTCCTGACGTGGTACAGGGACATATTGAATATGTCAGGGTTAGATATGTCTTGGAGCGCCATACCCGCCCCCTAACATGGAACAGTGGTGTAACAGTACAACATAAAAACAGAATATAATCAAAGTACTGAAGTACTGAACATCGGATGACCGCAAGTTCTTGTGGATGGTCACAAGCACTTGTCTCAGAAAAAAAATCACATCTCTATACCTGAAAGTGAGGTTAATGTACAGATATAAAAAAAATTCTGAGACAAGTTCGTGCGAGGATGATAAATAAATGACAGGGAATTCAACCTCACCGTAATAACTATTATATTGTAGTGATACAAATAAGTATACTCTGGTTTGTTGTTATATATTATTAACTTTTAATTGCCAAGAATCTGTCCGGTTTAAGGGAGATAACCCAATTTGAAAACAATTATTTGTATTGACAAGGACGATGACCCGTCCTCGCTCCATATGGGGTCACTTGCTAATTTGACACATGCGATAAGACGCACAATTAAGAGGTTAAACACCCGCTGGTCTAAAAGATAACTTCAGTGAAAACCAATACCAGATGGTATCGATAAAATAATTTTGATTCATGTTTTCTGCATTTTGGTGTAGTTTGTAAAATTAATTGAAGGCCGGAGTTCCTATTCGATCTTTGTTGAAACCTGGGACTACTGAATTAGTGTATTAGTCCCAGTTGAAACATTGAAACGGCGCGAGATGTTTTACCCAAATTGGTAAATGAAAAATGCATATAAATAAAAATAGATATTCTTATTCAAAATGAATTGAGCATCAAACTGACTAAAATGTAATTGAAATTTTTGTTCAACTATTTCACATCGGCCGAAAAGCCTTACGGTTCTTTTTTTGTATATATATATATAAAACGGGTACCTCGAGAATTCGAAATGTCTGTCATTTTATTTGATTTTAAACATCCATTGACAGTTCATAATTATTGAATTTAACAGTATACATTGACTCAATGAATGAGGATAACAGCACAATTCCTCGAGTTAAATGAACTTTTGTTGGTTAATGTCTGTCATATTTGTTTTTCGTAAATTGTTTTGTTATAATTTAGGTCGTTAGTTTTCTCAATTGAATAGTTTCATATTTTTCATGTTGGGGCCTTTTATAGCCGACTTTACGGTATGTATTTTTCTCATTGTTGAAGGCCGTGCGGTTGCCTATAATTGATGCCATGGTTTATAGTTCTGTTTTAAGTCAGAAACAAATTACTTGTAAATATGTGGTTGTCGGTTCTTGCTTTCTGAAATATTTATTTTCTTGTTGTTATTGTTTTAGCATAAACCAGTTCGTTGGTTTTTTTCCCGTTTTTATTGTTTCGACAGTTAACGTGAGATCTGTCTAAACATGTTTAACCCCGCCGCATTTTTGCGCCTGTCCCAGGTCAGAAACCTCTAGCCTTTGTTAGTCTTGTGGTTTTTTTTTTAAATTTTGGTTCATTTATATGTTTCGGAGTTTGGTGTGGCGTTCTTTTCGCTGAACTAGTATACATTATTGTGTAGAGGCCAGCTGAAGCCCGCCTGCGGGTGCGGGATATTCTCGCGCTGCGTTGAAGACCCATTGGTGGCTTTGGGCTGTTTTCTGCTCTTTGGTCGGGTTGTTCTCTTTTAACACATTTCCCGTTTCCATTCTCAATTCTATCCTACAAAGCTTACTGTACGATTTGGGATTAGCTCATTGATAAAGGCCGTACAGTAACTCATATAGTTGCTTTCAACCACGTCCTGTGGTCTATGGTGACAAGTTGTCTTATTGCCAATTTTACCACATCGTCTTATTTTTAAATTATTGTATTTACTTCTAAGTTAAACCAGAGACATATATATATATATATATGGCTCTGGTTAAACCATTATTTATGAAGGAACGGGGGGTTTAAAGCTTTTCATACATTATGAAAGCCAATTTATTCAGTTAAAGCTTACAGAACCCTCTATTATCTTGTGAATTTTGTGGGTTGAGGGTAGGTCATCTCGTGGATATTTACCTAATATCTCACATTATATCAACATCTACGACGCAAACGAGAAGTTAAACAAGAAACAGAAAACATACAAGCTTCCAGCATCGTTCCCACCATATATCCACAGGTATATACCCTGAAGCTGATATGTTAATTGTCATACAAGTACCTGTTCAAAGCTAACAATCTTTATCGTTTTGTGAAGAAATTATTGATTTTTTATTTAATATTGTTTCGATTCAATAAATTCTAATGGAGATGAAAAGCTAGTGATAAAAAATTGACAAAGGGTATTTAATAAAAAGTAGTTTTTTTTTGTTTTTTTTTTTCCATTTTATACACTTTTCGTTTTGATTATTTTTGTCATCAACAAGTTTCTTTTTGACGGCGCATGTATAAATTAAGTAATGAATGTATTTCAAAACTATTTAACGGGTCTTGAAAGGCGCAAACTTTCCAATTTATTGTGCGCACATATCATTATTCGTGTATTTAGTTTCAAGAAATTAAATAACAGAAACTCGGTTTGATGTAAAATATATTATTAGATTTCATCTTGCCGTATCAAGTGATCGAATTCGTGGAGTATTCTAAATGTTGTTTTTATGCACTCTTTAAAGTGCGACGAAATGGAATTGTTATCCTATATGATTGTGTATTCAAATCGTGTTAAAATTGCCTCAAAAAAGATTATCTTTGGATTGTCAAGAAAACGAGCCAGTTGTCTAATTGACAATTATACAACATCTTCTTCTTTTTTTTTTTAAATTAAAGGTGAAAAGAAACCATTTAATGCCATTGAAAAAGAAATATGATTGTGTATTGATAAAACATCCAGATGAACAAGCATTTATTTAAAATAATGCGTTTTAGATTTTGATTTCATTCTGCTGATATATTAATTAATTTTCGGTTATAACCACGTGAAAACAGAAACAAAAAATAACTTATTGTATTGTGAGATATACCATGGAAGTATTATATTGACAGGAACTACAACGATTAATTAGCACTTATTTTTAACCCGGGTAGCACTGTAGAAAAGATATGGAAACTGTCTTATTAGTACGCTGTCGTTAATTTTTTTTTGTCTGCGATGCCGCGGTCATAAATTGACCAGAGATGATTCTTATCAATCACGTGGTTTTTATCCAGACAGATTAACATCAATACCTGTCGGAAAACACCTTTACTTATTTCAATCGCGTAGGTTGACATTTATTCATGAACAACTTATTTAAACAAATCGACTGATGCATAAAAAATGAAAATCGGCCCAGAATTAATTATTCTACAACGATACAAAATAGCGAGTGACATTATTTTATTTCTTCAGGGGTTAAGTTAAAACTGTCAAAAGGGTGTGTTCCGATTACCGCCGGGTCACGAAAATTTTCTTAATAAATATATACACTGTGACGACCCGATTAATGTATATAGCAACGGACCTGGATTACCCTGGAAAGTAGAAATTTTCAGTTTTAAATGCGAAAATTAATCGATCAAGGACTTAATATCACAGAAATTATACATAACAAATATAGTTAAAAAAAAAGACACACCTCGTTATTTATATTACATATATATATAAGTGGGTTTAAATTTTTGACATTTGTGAAATTCAAACTGCTAAAATATTCGTATTTGAACAAATTTTATCCGATAATATGAATCCGGTGTCAGTATTTCAATTTGTCAAAAAACCAAACCTTAACCGTATTTATCAATTTTAGAAAAAAAAACGAGACTTATAATATGTTATTGAATAGCTAAAGCATCTCTGTCCCAAAACAAATATTTTATCACTATCTGTCCAAATGATACTAGTAAATATTATTGAACAGTTGCAGTACTTACAAAATTTCAACACATCTGGACTCAGCTGAAACATTCGTATACCAACCAATGATCTGGATTTAGAGCGAAGCTTGATAATTCCTACATTTATTTCAAATCTCTTTGATCTTTAATTTTTATCAGAAGAATCATTTTACAATCGTCTTAAATATGCATGAAATGTGTGCCACTGGAGTAAACAGTAATTATATAATCACAACTTGCGATATATATTACATATAGTGCAATTTCTTCCGAAAAATAAATCAATAAACATGGGGCATTTATTCAATTAATATGGTACAAATTTCCATCGTCAATGTGTATTTCTATAGAATTAATGATGTCTCGCACAAATCCATCAATCTATCAATCGGCACACATATACAGATGTAGGGTAACGGAATCTGCCGAGGTTTGCCGATTGCTGTTTCCTAAGAATTTATCACAACTTTCGATTTCTTCGTTTTTTTCCGTAATCGCGAAAGCAACCGAGAATGACGATATTGTAGGGCACCGTAAATAACGTGCCATGTTTCAAGTTAATTAACATGTCATTAAATAGCGTGCGGCATCGAAGATGAAACGTTTGAAGTCGGGTCGTAGTAGTTCCTGTCAATATAATACTTCCATGGATATACCAAGGAATTGTATATTTAAATATACAATTCCTTAGATATACAAATCCTTGTCTTTAATTATAATTATATAGTGTTTTGCTATTCCTTCAACCCTAAATCAAGTTTATACAAAATGTCGTTTACACTATATTACATGACTCTTGGAATATATAATGTCTCAGCATGACTGTGTAAACACGATTGTATAACAATTTTTTATCTGTTTACACACACGATGTATCCTGTTGTCAAATAGAAATTGATAGAAAAAAAAAAAAAATCGCCTACTTTAAAATCAAATTTGGAGCAAGAAGAAAATAACCAATTTGAAAATAAACTATACCACGTTAAGCTTTAACTTTTCATCTTTTTCTTGGTCGCAGCAGCTAAGGTATATCATAAGTAAAAGTATTTTAATTATTTTTTCAAAGCTGACCACTCTTCCAAATAATGACATTTCCTGTAAGAATAACGGCAAAAGTAAGCCATTTGACATCACTGTAAAAATCCAAATTTGTTGCAAGAAGTTCAAACTTTATTTTAAAATAATTTATATCATTAAAAAGAAGACACATTAATGATTCTGGGGATCGCAGCAGCTAAGAAAACCACTGAGAAGAAAACTGAATATCGTCTTGTAAAGATTATTTTCCATATAACTTCTATATAACGATTTTATCCTTGTAGGGTATCTGAATTCACGCATGCGCAATATTGACCGGACTGATTCTTGACTATGCCGGGGGGCGGGACGGTATATTACAGTTACATGTATATATAATTTTCATCCATTTGTATATCATTCTATTCTACTATATTAATAATAGTGCAGTGAAAGTGCATGGTGGACACTCTTCTGTAATAACTCGATTTTTCTAATAGATTGGATTTGAGTAGGCATTCATATTTTTCCGCAAAACGTTCAATCTCCCATGCAGAGTTATCGGTCCTTGAGAGAGAGCAAGGACCGATAACTCTGCATAGGAGATTGCAAACGTTCTTGAGATATTCTTCGGATGCGTTAACACAATTTTTCAGTACGTGTGCATAGATACTAATGTTTTTTTACTTATATATATATAACAAAACATTTTCATATTATTAATTCATGTTCTAAGAAAAATATTTTATGAGTATTCATTGAAGAAATAAATTTATAACAAGCGATAAGGAATGTTATTTTGCACTCGATGATGTCCGCGTATTTATAGATTATAGATCGGTTACCAGTGAAACACGAAAGTTACGTAATGGAAATCTCTCTGGCAACAATACATCGGAACGCCTCACGGTCATCGCGATGTAAAAATCAGTTGAAAAGGGCTTGATTCATCAGATCGTTAAAAAGCAAAGCAAACAACTAATAAAAATAATTGAGACACAAAGTACCGATCTGAGAGTACTCGCAGTTCACGAAAGCTAGTTTCAAGCCAATGAAAACTTAAAAGAATCATGTATCCAAGGCAACATTAATCACTACACATCCAATAGATTCATTGTAAATATATCTTATCGATCCTTTTCTTTCAGGTAGGGTTAGTTTTTTTACTGTTTTAGTTTCATAGTTTAATTGTTGGTTACGTTTTGCCTTTTAATTTTTCATACATGTATAGATAATATCAGTGTCATATACTGCCATTATCGCTACATTTATATAACATTGCATACAATTTATATTCAAACTACCGAAGTATTTGGCAAACTATACATGCACTTTTTGATAATCGATCGCTGGTGTTTTTTTCCTCCTAATTTTGAAACTTTATGCAAAGTCGCCTTGAATCGTGCTTTCTGAAGTGCTGGAAATCGACGGGACAAAACAAAGACTGACTGGTGTTTTACAAACACATGCACAACTGAATTGAATAATAGTGCAAACATACTGAAATTGTTTTTGTAACTTACCAAGTTTTTATTTGGTCTGAACGATGCTTGGATGAATCAGGAAGTTTGTTTTTATTAAATCTCAAACGTTATTTACTGTCACTATATAATATTCATGAGCAGAATGCAAATAATGTTATTCAATACGGGACAAAACAAATAGTTACGATCTTAAAAGAGAACTGTGTGAATCATTTAAACACGTGGTTTAAATCTAAAATTTATTCATGTCGCTTTTAATACAAAAACATTTTTGAATATTAATGTCATAAGTTAAATATGTATTTTAACATTTTGAGAAAGTTTTTGACGCCGATCTGCTTATATATATATATATATATATATATCGGAGTGCGGTAGGAAGATATACTATTAACACGTATTGACCATTCTTTACTTACATTGACTCCATGTATTACATTATAAAGGTAAAACGCTGATACAGAAGCCCATTTAGAACCTCCCAAAATATCACTGGTTTATACAGATATCATATTGAAATAGTCATATAATATTCTCAAAATACTTTACATGTTAATGTTACAATACCTTTATATCTCTTCGGCCCACATAGCAATTTATGGATTATGTGTTCATCTAAAATCATTATAAGCACCTTAGCTTCGTGTCTTTCCATACACTTTTTGGTAGTTGACAGACTGGTAAACTTTTGTAATGTTGCATTCATTTCCATGAATTATTTGACCAAACGTAACTCAAATGATTCATTTATTGTGGTCTCAATCCCGTTCCCTTTCCTCGTTCATAAGTTTTCACTAGATACAATTTGATGAGAAAATATACCAAGCAGAATTATGCTTAAAAACGTTGCATTATATGTGGCTATTGCAAGCACTTTTCATGTAACGATGTGCAACTTTTGATTTATTTTACTCTAAAGATATTTATATTTATATTTCCATCTTGATATCTTTGTAATTTCCATGATATTTTCCGAGGCAATGATTTTAACAAACTTTGCCAAATATAATATCTTTTTTTTTTTAAACATACATAAAAACAGCTGCGCCATGAGCGCATGAAACGCCCGTCGTCTTGTGTGTGAATTTTTATGCAATAAGCATAAATAGTTTCTGACATACGGCGTGACATGCGAAAACCCCCTTTTTTTTGTACAAAAAACTCAATATCTCTAAAATAAAATTTTGAATCAAAACCAAAAAGTATACAGATCTTTAGATTAATATAACTAAGAAGTGTGTAAAATTTTAAGCAATAATCATAAATCGTTTTTGAGATACGGCGCGACATGTGAAAACCCCCCCTTTTAAAAAAAAAATAAATCAATATCTCAAAAATAAAATTTTGAATCAAAACCAAAAAGTATACAGATCTTTAAATTAATATAACTAAGAAGTGTGTAAAATTTTAAGCAATAATCATAAATCGTTTTTGAGATACGGCGCGACATGTGAAAAACCCCTCCCCTTTTTTTTTTACAAAATACTCAATAACTCAAAAATAAAATTTTGAATCATCACCAAAAAGTATACAGATCTTAAGGTTAATATAACTAAGAAGTGTGTAAAGTTTTAAGCAATAATCATAAACTGTTTTTGAGATACGGCGCGACATGTGAAAAACCCCTCCCCCTTTTTTAACAAAATACTCAATATCTCTAAAATAAAATTTTGAATCATCACCAAAAAGTATAGAGATCTTAAGATTAATATAACTAAGAAGTGTGTAAAGTTTTAAGCAATAATCATAATTTTTTTTTGAGATACGGCGCGACATGTGAAAAAAAACACACACCTGTTTTAGTTACTAAGTCCCGTAACTCAAAAAGTTTTAATCTTATTTTCACCAAAAAGTATACAGATCGTTTGACCATCATAAGAAACAACTATGTTAAGTTTCATGAAATTTGGATAAGTCATTCTCAAGTTACGGTGCGACATGTTTACGCCGGACAGACGGACAGACAGACAGACAGACAGACAGACAGACAGACAGACAGACAGACAGACAGACAGACAGACGGACAGACAGACGGACGGACGCCGGACATTTGTATACCATAATACGTCCCGTCAAAAATTTGACGGGCGTATAAAAAATCATTTCATACAGTTTGATTTTCATCTTTTCCACTACGTATATTATTATCAGGAAAATCCTTTTCAAAAGGTTAGATTTGAAATAAACAAGGCTACGTACTGGAAATGTTTTTCTTTTATTATTATGTATTATGCATTTTCTATTCAAACTTCTGAAACCAAACCCGATTAGAATCATCCTTAAGTCTTTTCCACCGGTCGTAAACATAGTCTGCATGGTCTTTTGTGGATGGTTGTCTCATTGACATTCATACCACATTTTATCTAAATACATTAATACAAAAAGTCTGATGTATTTTGGTTATAATTACACCTTATATAAGAATGCCGGATTTTAATTGGTTGGTAGCCAGTGTATTTTTCGCATATTCTAACCTTTTTTGCTCATTTCAAACGAATTTGCCTGTTTTTTCACCACTGCCGGTGAATATGCCTCAAATTCCCCTCTATGCCGTGGTATTTACCATTTTGGATATTCTTTTTTTTTACCCTCCCGAGCCTCTTCCCGCCAAAATTATTCGGAATCTTTCTTAACTTATCCCGATTATTAAGGCAACTTGAAAAGCAATATTGATTGATAGAGGTTATCCGAAAACTGTAAACAAAAATGTCAGACAAGTTCCACACGACTGCACGGTACCAATCTCGTGATCGTATATTGAAGAATGCGTTGTGTATATAAAGAGGAAAAAGACGTCTATACAAATGAACGATTTAATGATGGAATGACAATGACGTTTACACATATATATACCATGACGTTACATAAAGACAGCGCTAACGCGTATAAGTACATGTATACATAATTCCCGCGGTACTAGTCTATGATAGTCTCTGCTTATCCTCAAAATTATGCATAAACATGTTTATGGATTACAGCTTACTAGTAAAAAAAAAGATTTCCCGTCACCTGTACAGAGAGTTTCAATCAAAATCTATTCGGTGTAATTAAACAGATATATCATGTTATGGAGGGGTATTTGCGAAAAATACCAATCTTGGGACCAAATTTCCCAGTCCCTTGACTGGTATTTTTCGCATATACCCCTCCATAACATGATATATCTGTTCATGTTTGTTGTTGGGTCGCTGTTTCATAGACATATATCCTACATCTCTCTCAATTCACATGAGAATAAAAATATATTAGCAAATCTTTTATATGATTTTATTATAGAAACATATGAATATCTTTTTTGAATACACAAAAAGTATAATTACAGTTATTATTTAGAAAACATTCAAATCATTAATAAGCCTTCTAAGAATTCTCAATTTTTTTACAGCATCTTGAGTAAATTCGATGTATGATATTCATTTTCCACAGAACCGAAAATAATGATATTTTCAAACCCATTTTCCAGTACAGCTGACTGTTTCCTACAGATAAACCTTTCCTTGTAGACTAGATTAGAACTTCATATGCGTCATAAATTTCTTTCTTTCAATTATAGACAACATAGTTTACTGATATTCAAATATCATCAATTGAATAAGAAGACAAAATCAAGATAACAAACAAACAGAGGAAATCGCATGAACTCTAATAGAAACGACAACGGGCACGTCGACTAGGTAAGCGTCTCTTGATATGCACGTATTACCCGCCATGCAAATCCACACTCAGTTAAGATGTCACTATCGGGAATAGGACACTATCGGTAAGATTAAAGATTAGATGACTATATTCTGGTATCCAAAGATTTAAGGTGGTACATAACACTACAGGGAGATAACTCTGTAAAAATCAGATGAACGTTTTAATCACGTTTTGTTGTTAAGGAAATATTAAGCCTCTCAATGATCAAAATTAGTGTTTGTCAAACTGCTATATATCCAATGAAATTTTTCCGATAAAGTGATTGATTCAAGTTTTTTGAAATTTTCATATTTTTGTCAAAGGGTCAAAGTAAATATTTTGTCAAAACTTTATGAAAATTAAACGAGCCAAATTAATTTTAGTCAAGGTGTTTAGTACCACCTTAAGACTATTCGGCATTGGTAACAGTAATTAAAGGTCTACAGTACAGTTTAAAGTTAAGGTTGGTGTTTGTTTGGTTTCGTAATGTTTAATCGTATTTATTAATTAACTACACTGTTATTGGACTTAATATGATGAAAACTGCCTATGCAATATAAAGGTGTCAACTCGGCCAATACAGAATAACTCGGCCAATATAGATTTTTTTTCTGTATTGGCCGAGTTCTGATCCGGCCAATACAGGATTTCGGAACGTCTCTAGTTTTTAGATCGAAGGTCACGATAAACACAAACTGAAAGTAAACAGTTGTTTGGAAGACGCAGTTTTCATTTACTCACCATAAACATGCTGAAACGTTCAGTATGGCAATATATTTCAGGCTAAAGACGGTCACATTCATTTAAAAAGCATTTTGAAAGCAGACGATGGAATTATTTCAGGTTTGGGGAACGAGTAGATTATCACAAAGTTCATTTCTTGTCGACCTCATAATTTCACGATGGTACAAATCGATTTACTGTTTACTTTCGCTTCTCATGTTTTGTAAACTGTCATTTATTTTTAAACCCGAACCAGGCATATGCATTCTGGAAGGGTGACCTGTAATTGTGCAAATCTTCGTTCTTTGGTCAGTTGGCTTATGGATAGTTGTATAATTTTCAACTCCTACTTTATTTTTTTTTAAATATATTCAATTTGTTTCTACATAACACATGCAATGGCAGAACCTTTCCAATTACTATTTATGTGTTGTGTCTAAATTTAAATTGTAACACTTTATAGTGACTGGAAAGGGTAGAAAAATTCATCAGATGAGAAAATGCTGTAGACACCTGGAAACGGCACCAGATCATTAGATATTGCATCTTATAAAAAGAAACTGAGATTTGGATAGTTCCACTTCAAGGTAAAAATGTTTATCTCTTGTGAAATGAAATAAAAAAAATATTGTAACACTGTAGTTAATTAATAAAGATACTATTACGTGTATTTCTGTATTGGCCTTGATATTGGTCCTCGGCCAGCTGTATTGGCCGTCGGCTTCGCCTCAGGCCAATACAGCAAGCCTCGGACCAATAACAAGGCCAATACAGAAATACTCACGTAATAATATCATAGTATTTTATGTAGTGTTTTGTGTACGTGTACGTGTTCGTCTTTCATCTTTTTTTTGCCATGACGTTGTCAGTTTTCTTCAACTTATTAGTTTCAAATGTCCCTTGGTATCTTCCGCCTCATTTGAAGATGGATAAAAAAGCCAACGAAATATCAAACGTTTTGCTGATTAACAATAATAGTCTGCAACAATCATTGCTATGGATAGTGTATTGACAAAAATAAATGATGTATGATGTCAAGCTGTAGGTTTGAAACGAAGAGCCCTACATTCGGTTTTAATGGTCGGCGCTGAATTAAATCAATCTTTGTCGAAACTGCAGTTGTTTGCCATTAATCATCTATTTGCTATCATAGAAAATGCGTTGAATTTATCAAATAAAAAAAGTTATGTCATTAGAAAACTAAACTTCATGATTTTACTCTGCTGACCTCAAATGCACTTACTCTAAAAAATCATAGTAAAACTCCCCCTCTTCATTCTGTTTAGCCTTTTGAATAAAATTCATTTTACAGTCTTGCTAAATCATTGCTGGAGAAAAATGTTTTAAAACAAATTAATGCTCCTGAAAGTTTTGGGAGATCATCTCACATACAAATGTAAGTGTGAAATTTAAGACTAATATGGTTAATTCGATGTTATACAGTAGTATTAAAAGAGTTTTTACATCATTATTTTAGTTAATCAGACAGGATTTGCATTTTGGATTTTGTAAAATCGGGTTGAAATATGTATATCAAACAACACCTGCACGGAGTAATATGATTTCATTTTTATACTTTATAGATATAAGAAGATGTGGTATGAGTGCCAATGAGACAACTCTCCATCCAAGTCACAATTTGTAAAAGTAAACCATTATAGGTCAAAGTATGACCTTCAACACGGAGCCTTGGCAACAAACGACAACTATTGAACATCAGATTCCTGACTTAGGACAGGTGCAAACAATTGCAGCGGGTTTAAACGTTTTAATGGTACCAAACCTTCACCCTTATCTGAAACAATAGTGTAACATCACAACATAGAAAAACACACTATAAAATATCAATTGAAATGACTTAACTCAATCAAAAGACATATTAACACCAGTAAACATACACTGAACAAATAAGTTTGATCTATGCATGTTTCTGTATATGTTGTGTACAAGTTGCGATTTTGTACATGTTATAACATGTACAGAAATATTTTACATGTTATAACTTGGACAATGCAAAAATACAAGTTATAACATGTACAAAAGTACCTCGTACATGTTATAACATGCACAACATATTGCTTAAAAATGGTTTTAACTTGCACAAAATTTGAAAATAAAGATATGTTTCTATTATTACAACACATGTCATTAACCTCAATAATATTTTTATTATTTTTTTTATTGTTCATTCATGTAAGTGTGTTTTTTCCATTTTTATACAGTTAATGACCAGATGAATAGTTTTTGTAAATACTTAGTATCTTTTAAAACACAAATGTAGTCAATAAAATTCTCATCTGATGAATTATAAATTTCCACTCTGAAGGCAATAGGAAAATACTTTTATACTAATTGAGACTTAAGATGCTAATGGATAGCCAGGATATATTTTACAATGAAATCCTTGATATGTCGAGGAAAACTTCCTCTGCAAAAAATACACTGTTTTCAAAAGGAGAGGATAGATATTAAGGAGTGTTAAGCAGGCAAAAAATACCAAGTAAACCTACGAGCAAAGAAAGAGCCCTTCTGAAACAGTACATTAAATGTGTTTGAAGACAAGTCCCAATGAGTGATATGATTGTGAGAGAGATTGTCCGTAAGATATCATTGAGTGGAGGGAGGGCAAGGTTTTGTGCATTGTCAATATAAGAAAGGCAATTGTAAGTCTGGTAGGTGTAAATGTAGAAGAATGAAAAATTTGTGTAACTCTAGATGTCACAAGTCTCTATCTTGTAGCAACAAGTAAACAAAACTCGTTTCTAAAATGTACGAAAATGTAGTATTTTATCCATGCTGTAAATGATGCACCTTTCGTTTGCATTTGATTATTAATCTGTATTATTTAAATACAACTTTATTCAAATTTATTTTCAAACTTTGTACAAGTTAAAACCATTTTTAAGCAATATTTTGTACATGTTATAACATGTACGAGGTACTTTTGTACTTGTTATAACTTGTATTTTTGCATTATGCAAGTTATAATATGTACAATATTTCTGTACATGTTATTACATGTACAAAATCATAACTTGTACACGACATACATAATGCATTTAAAAATTATATAAACAGGTGTTCAACCAATACTTTAAACATTTTCAAGTTCCTCCTATAAGGGTAAGTTGGAAAATTCTGACCTTAACTACTTTTGTAAATTGCAATTTAGTAAAACTACAATCTATACGCTTTCTTCGCCAACACGGGTAAATCTCATTTCCTCGTTGCTTTGTTGCATTTTTTCCAAATTTTTTTGGTGCGTCTTTTTCAAATCAAAAGGAAAGTTTCCTGAAATTCGGCTTGGTCTTTCGATAGAAGTTGCCATATTTTTTGCATTCTTATTTCCGTGTTCTTTAGTATTGCCTCTGCTATTACTTTGAACAACAAAATCCTGTTCCGTAGACGAGGAAATTTCTTTTATCTGTTTAAAGATATCTTCAGGATCAAAATATTTACTTCGTAAATTTGTTGCCGCAAGGAGATGCAAAAATGTTCCATATCGGTGACGGATCATACCAAATAATTGCAAAAATAATAAAAGAGCAAATATAAGTAAGAAAAGAAGTCCCAGGGGTTCAATAATAATTGTAATCCCATCAACAGTTTGTATCCTTATATTGAGAACATTTTTCACTTCATTCATTGCCGTCATTATAACAAGCCATAGACCATTTACAAAAAAGAATGCATAGGCTACTTTATTTCTGAAGTTCCTCTGGAGCGAACGTCAATACTTCCGCAGCTGCACAGTATTCAATACGATAGCCTTGTTGTAAAAAGAGCGTGCAGAGCCATCTATCTTCACCTACAATTTTAGTTAAAGGAAGGTCAATTAGTTCCTTTGGAAATTTATATATTTTTGATAACTATAAATACAAAGGGATGTGGCCATGATACAACAACCTTAAATCACAATAATACCGTAAATGATTATAAGATCAAAAACAAAAACAAAAAACAAAACAAAAACGAACAACAACAATAGTTATTAACCGTATATCGAGCTCTTAATCTTACAAAAGCTAGATATATCTTTGCGTATTTGACAAAATGTATTGGAAAAATGGTAATATACATTTTCAGGTTTTATGGACTAAACCTGTTTTCAATTTACCGTCGAGTTCGGTAATTTTGTTAATACTTTTTTCTCTCAATCAATTCCTTTTTTCTTGGGATAAAATTTACAAAGAATAATTCTTCAAAAAATCAAAAGAAAAGAAAAGAACTAATACAGCAATGTACGAGGTTCTTGATTTTAAACAAACAAATCTACATTTGAATGGATTAAACTTTTTCATAAACATAGAAGCACACAGCGTAAAAAAGTTAAGAAGAAAAAAAATTACAAACTACGGACAACATGGAAACAATTAAAACAATACTAAAAAAGGAGAGAGAAGATATCATGGGGAAATAAAAAAAATCACATGTCTTTCCAATATATAGTGGTCTTGCGATTTAATGTTTTTGCTGAACATTTTCAATACATCTAAATATTTTGAGCCTTACTTTGAAATTTATTCACTATTCGCAGAGAAATTTTAGTTTTAGTGGCCACAAAGGGCATTTTTATCATAAAATTCCAGATTTTAAAGTCTGAAATAATGTATTTCAAATTTGTCATCAGAAAAAAAGATAAAACATCTCACAATTAAAGTCATTTTCGTTGTTTTGAGGTGACAAGATAAGCATCAGTTTTTATATATTCTGCAAAAAAGTAGACGTTTTGAGGTTGAAAACTTCATTTATAATTCTTCATTTTCACAAATTGTTATGTTCATGACTCAAAAATATTGTCTCAGAATTTGACTCATTTCAATCATTTTTTGTAAATGTTATATGCTACAGAAAATTTAACTCCACGTTCATTTATGGAAGTACATACATCATATAAGAACTTGACAGGTAGTGCCAAATTCCCTTGAATTCCTGAATTTATTTTGCTCGCTTTGTCACTGGAATATAATTCATCGCTATGCATAGTTTTTGGAGACAGTTTTGACACAATATTGCATATTTTACATGTGTTTGTAAAATTTTGGAATGTAGAAACCCTTAACCGAAGTTGTGATGATTTGTATCGAGAGTAAAAAACATGACAATAATTGCACAAAATTTGCCAAAATCGACGAAAATTTCAATTATTAGCCTTCTTGAGTCATTCATGTTCCAAATATATCTTTATTTTATAAATATTTTAAAGAATCTGCACGGAATCATCAGTTTGTAATAATATGTAATTTAGAGACTATTAAATGCGGGTTATGGACTTACATTTTTAAAAAGCACACTTTAATATCGATGCCTGTACTCCCTAGTAAATTTAGCGCAGTTGCTACTTGAGCAAAGCAAAGAAACAGGATCTTGTTTAATGTCTTTGTTAAGAAGTTTACAGAGTTTCAGTACAATACAGAAAGATCTGTAATAATGGTAAGATGTCTTTCAAGTTGTTTGTTAGATATTAATGTGAAAAACAACAGACGCAATGATAGTTAACAACATCTTTGTTAAACCCTTTATGCCAATGTCTGTCAAGAAAAATAAGAATTTGGAAAAGAACAATTCGTATACCTTTTTTTATTTATAAATACTATCTTTAATAAGATTCCTTCGTGTAATCTTCATCAGCTACGAAAGAGATAAAAAAATTCGAGAGAGCTCTCAGTTTCTTTAGTACCCCGCTATAAAAGCCAAATTGTTGCCACTTACCTTGATCGTAGTGTATATAATGTTTGGGTTCTGTTGGTAAATTTGCATACGTTCTCATGATGTTATCATCCATTAAAGCTTTTGCCCGAAACAGACTAAAACATCCGGGACTACAAAGCACACAACCGAAAACATGCTCTGCTGACTTTTGTAACCAATGTCCTATAGCATATTCGAATTTCTGGTACCACATAACCGGACCTAAAATTTTAAAATACTGTCACATATTAACCTTGTTTACAATGAACCATTTGAAATTATAAATATTTTGTTAAATTGAATCATTTCAAACAAGCTGAGCTGTGAACTATTGCTCACTTATGATTTACCCCTATAAGTATTCGGTAGATATGGAGTTGATGAGTGATTGATATGAATTGCATCATACAGTATAGCATCCTCATATGACGCTCTGATTTGTAGGTTCTGAAAAAAATGCGACAAAAATATAATGGAACAGACGAACAGAAGGAAGGACAAATAGTCAGGCAAACATTAACCACTTAACCCCTCCTTTCGGAGCGGTGGTAAAATTATAAAAAAAAAATGCTGGCATCAAACGACGATTCCAGGAAAAAAATGATAAAAAATATCAGACCTATCGCTTTTACATTAAACAAAAATACTTTATAGAGAAGTATATTTATGGCTAGTCATTTACCAATACATATGAAATCGAAACATCTTGTTGCCAGAACTACAATCGATTTTTAGCCTGTTGTGAAAAGTTAAAAGCAAATTGTATCAGGGTCAATTTTCACAGTGTTCTTAGTTTCACAAGTGCCTTACCAGACCCTCCAGGTTTAATACGACCACATGTCGCACCAACATTTGTATTTTTCTTCATTCTGTCTATGAGTAGCTGAAGTGCTTCTGGAGAAAAGTCAACATCACTATCTAAAGCCATTACATAGGTGTTCTCTACCTATATGGTTAAACAGAATAGCTCTAAATAAATGTTACCATACAGAAGCTGATTTTATGCTTCAACAGAATTATGAGATAGAATGACTAAAAATCGACACCACGTTTGTTTTACGGTAATTATCACAAATTGGTTGATTAATACGATTTTTTGAAGTCTGAACTCACTAGCGACATGTTTTGGGGTCTTATATTTTTAGATAATGGTTTACGTCGTCTGATCTGTACTTTTGCAGATGTGTCCTATTTCCGATTGTGATATTTCGACTGAGTGCGGATTGACATGGCGGGTGATGCATGAATAGCAGGAAACACTTTCCCAGTTGGCGCACCTGATCTCGCTTCTTTTGAAATTCGTGCAATTTCCTCAGTTTTTGTTTGTTATCTTGATTTGTCTCTTCTCACATGGAAAATCTACTAATGCCTTATTGAAATTCTTATAAGAGACGTGACAGATGTAATTCATAAGAGAGTTAAATTATGAGTCGACTAAAAAGTTACTAAACACAGATAGTTCAATGATCATATATCAAACATCTTGTGAATGAAAAATGAAAAATATAAAACACTTAAAAATGAGAAGAAAAGTAAACTGTATAGCATACCGATTCATAACGAAAGTAAAACTTATTCGTCGACAGGGCAAGCAACTCGTCAATAAATTGCATTACTGAATATTGAGGCAGTCGAGGCAAACAGATAAATAAGTGAATAACGATTTGTAATCGCATAGAGGTAAAATGTTGCTTATGTCATTAAACCAATTGTTTTATTTGATTGAGTGATGTTCATCAATGTATTTTTCTCCTTGTGTAAAAATATTGGCGAAGATGAACTATTACCTGTTGGTTTAAGCTTTTTGGGAGGTTTTCAAAAATGTTCTGAGCACTTTCAAAATCTTTTACTTTTTCCGTCTGTTGTAGCTCACTGTTCACTAATTTATAACCAATCAAATAATATAAGTACATAATCTGTAATGTAGAAACGTTTTTTAATGACATCTAGACATTATGGTATTGTACTACTTAGAAAATCTCCGAGCCTTCCTCCTGTCCTTCCTGGTTGTTTACAAAAAAGTTAATAAATCTAAGAGAAAAGATTATATGAAAAATAAGGAAAATAAATTGATAGTAAGAAAATGATAGAATAAAAGATGTCATAATGTCATGGATAACGCACATTAGTAAATATACAGGAAAATAGATATCTAAATTATTCGCAACACTAATGGCTTTCTACTCAAAGGCATAGGACGGCTTAATTAAATATTTTTTACAACTTTTTTGAATTTTTGGTGTTCAATGCTCTTCATTTTGTCATTGATTCTGACTTCAAAATTCATGATTCTTAAACTCACGGCTGTTGAACTAAATTATGAGCCTGTTTATGTTTTATTTGTGCTTTTTAAAAACTTTTCAAATGATGAAATTTTCAAATTATGCTAAACCTTTTCAAAGCTTTTGTTCAATTTCTGTAAATAAACTAATCATAGATACCAGGACTGAAGTTTTGTACGCCAGACGAGCGTTTCCTCTACAAAAGACTCACCAGTAACGCTCGAAACAAAAACAAAAATAAAAAGGCTAAATAAAGTACGATGTATTACATATAAGCTATAATTTTCTAAAATTTATAAATAATTTGAAAAGGCCCCATTTTAATTTTCCTTTGGTTTCTTAACTGCGAATTTTGTCTTTATTTCAAAGAGGTAAGAGTGGAGTGTTAAACCATTCTTAACTTTATGCATGTAAACGTGTTATAAAAATGTGTCACCATGTCGAAATCTCGTCCAGGAATTCATTTTTTTATTTACTGGTAGTTTTCCCTGTTGTGCAGACATTTATGGTTATTTTTCGTTTTTGTTCATTATAATAATAATCATAATTAGAAACCAATTGTTCAGAGAACAATTGAAGGTCTTTCCACATCAATTTTAAAATTTATTGAAAAGAAGCTAGTTCGTGTTTACTCAAAGTTAAAATTGGCATCTTATCATCAGTTTCTTCATACTGATGCGATAACTAAGTGGTTTATATATACTTCTGAGTGAAACGAGGGAGATAATTAGCTACTTCCGGTGAAGTAAATGTCACTTCCGGTCTCATATAAAAGTTTCTTTCACACAGATTCCAAAAATATTTAGTTTCTATATACTTTTGCTTGTAAACCAGGAGATAATTGGCCACTTCCGGTTTATCGAAAGTCATTTCTAGTCTTCAGTGATAAGTTAATGAATTAAAATTACAAAATATATGGATTCCGAGTACTTTCCATGAAGAAAGTGCAAAAATGGCTACTTTCGGTTTTCTCAAGGTCACATCCGGTTGTCATTTTTCAAGGTCATATGTCATCCAACCTTTTGTATAAGTGCATATGGCATTATAATGAACCAAGTTGAAGTTATAATCAATTAACCTTATAATTGGACATTTCAGGGGCACTAACCCCTATAAGATGCCATTAGATTGTTTCAGACCAAATGTAACATATCTTTATTACAATAAAGCAAACATTTTGCACTTGTTGTTTCATATATATCTTTAAAAGTGTTTGAAAAAATGCAAAAACAAGGAAAAGTCAAAGTTGAGAACTTGACCTTGACCTTTGACCTTGACCTCATTTTCTAAGTTAGGACCTAGGGACCTCAAATAAAAAGATTCCAGGGTTATACGGTTAACGGTTTATGAGTTAAAAAATCATACCGACAAATTTATTTGGTAAAGGTAGATAACTCCTTTAAAATTTCATCGAATCGTTTCAATCCAAATTAGCCAAAAATTTCTGAGGATGTAACGAACAATTTAGAAAAAGAATTTTGTCGATATCTTTTTTTGTTACGAAGGAGATGCACACACTTGACAAACAGTGAATTTACAAAGAAAATTGTTTGACTTAGAATGAGTGAAAATAAAAAGCGCATAAACTGTATGATACTATATAAGAAATATCTTATCGACATATTGTGAAACAAAAATTTTACGCGATAACAAATTTGGCGGAAGAAAAAATAAAATTCAGAACAAATACAATAGGTCTTTCCACAGAAAAGTGGAAAGACCTTATTATTAGTATACTTACCTGGGACCATCTCTTCTTGTGCCTAATTCTAAGTTTATCTTTTAAATGTACAGCAAGTTTATTTCCTCCTGGTAATGTCCGTTCTAAACGTCCACCATATGGAGTAATAAGCTTCGATGGGGGTTCTAGATTGATTGTCACCTGGTAATCGGCCCTGAATGTAAAATTTACCTCTTTTTTTCTTATCTTTTAGTTCATTCTGTTAAGTCATGAAACCAATGTCAATTTGAATAGATTAGGATCCAGTAACATGATCAGTACTAGAGGTTGTTTTATGATTTTTTGTCTTTAAAACTAAATTAGAAATACGTTCATATAGCATGGCATTATCCTGACTTTACATAGTAGAATTTTAAAACACAAATAAGTTTAACACTTACATCCTTGCTTCTGAAATGATTTCGATTAACTGTTGTACGAACTCATAAGGTTCCCGTTTCTTTTCTCCACCATCTCTACTTTCTGTCGTTTCCATCGCATCATCAAACATAATATATGCTGAAGCACAAAAAAAAATTGTAATGCTATTATTGTTCATATATACCATCGGCATATATCGATACAAGTGCAAGATGTCCTCTTTGTGGGGACGACGTTTTTTCGAAATACCTGCGTAAGATACACCTGAGACTAAAATGTAGAGAAAAGGAATTAGTGTAATATAATTACAGTATAAAACGTACAAACAGGCTCACAAACACATTTTTATCCCACCCTCCTTCAATATAAGTTGATACATTTTTGTTGTTGTTATTGTGCTCTTAGAGGTTTCACTTGTTTATCTCTCCAAACCTTTTTCCATGAGCGCACGTAAAGAATTCGTATTCAATAGATTACTTCAAATGCACTGTGATTTGGCACCTGCTTTTTTAGATAATGAGATAAAAGCTTTCAAAATAAAATTAAAAATTTAAAAGAGAGGCGAAAGATACCAAAGAGACATGTAAACTCATAGGTCGAAAACAAACTGAAAATGCAATGGCAAAAAAACGAAAAATGACGAAAATACAAACAACAGTATACAAAACACAACATAGACTGCATCACACGGGCACCGGTAACTCTGGGCTTTCCAAATTAAATCTTACATCTGGGTCAGAATTAAGCAAAAGGTATAACAAAAATACCGAACTCCAAGGCAAATTAAAAAAGGGAAGTCCATAAAAACTGACAAAATAAAACGTTATCAATCATTGGATCAATTGAAAAAGAACTGCCATATTCCTAACTTGATACAGGCTTTTTCCGAAGAAAATGCTGGGTTGAACCTGGTTTTAATGTTAGCTAAACCTCCCACTTGTATGCCATTAGTTTATAGTTTCGTTATATCGACAATATTGGGTGAGCAACCAATACAGACACAACAATTGCAGCTAAAACTGTGTAAACATACATCACAGACATACAACACAACTGACTAAAAAAATCAAACAAACTATAAATAAATCTAACGAAGACGCTAACAAAAAAAGTGTTATGGTAGATAGTAAATTTGACAAAGACGCCAACAAAAAACTTTTTGTCGTTGATAGTAAATTGACAAAGACGCCGATAATTTGTTTAAGAAATTTTCAGTTTCATTTTCGAATTTTCACAGACCCTATTGCTACAGAAACAACTCTTATATGAAAAACAATCTATACAAGAGGCGTTAATATTCACGGTCGTATGTTCACTTTACATTTGTAAATGAAAATAACATGTCATCAAAAAGTATGTAATTTGCATTACTCAAACACATTCAACTCCATATTCATAATTTAAAAACCAGTAGATACATATATCGACAAAAAGATTATTTTTGTTGCTTGTGTTTCAACTGTTACAAGTGTTCAGGAAGATTCAACCTCCATTGACCAAAGAAAGTTTCATGTAGCATTGTATACTATTAACCATAAGATGAGTAAATATACCTTCAAATTCATAATAGTCTCTAATACCAGCTTCTCTGTCAAGACAGACTGACTCCTCATTCTTAGCTATATATCTTGCAGCTTGGTCGTTATCAAGTCTTCAAAATAATACATATCTTCATCGGTCAATATTCGTGTTAAGACAAGTTTTCATTGCGTTTTCGCTTCCCAAGTTAATATAAATAATTTCCGCAAACCGACGGAAAAAAAAGGTTTACATCCGGTCCTGTCATTATAACGTTTTTGTCACTTTTCTGTAATGTACTGCTTCAATCTTTTTATAAGTACTCAGTCAAATAAAAAAAAGAATAAGATTAATTTTAAATTTCGTACAAGTTAAACGATATTTTATGGGTTGTATGACAGCAAATATCAAAGTTAGTACACATAACATTATATTATGGGACGATGAAATGAAGGTAGGTATCATAGTTCGTGCACATGGTATGATTTGTCAGAGGGTAGCTTGACAAAAGACAACAAAGACCAAGATCGATCGAGAAGGTGGTAGTTGTGAGCTGTGTTCATAGGAAAACATTTGTTCCCTGTATAAAAGAGGCGAACGTTACCAAAGGGATATTCAAACACATGAAGTCTCCGTATAGTTTTTTACAGATATAGATCTGGAAAATTTTGAATTTATTATTGCAAAAAAATGATAATAATAAAAGACATGTTTAAGAAATGTTAAAAGCCACATATGTAGTTTTGAATAAAGTACAAGATATATTGGATCGTTTTCCTAATAATCTTAACCGCAATGTGTTTATGTTTTCACACATTTGTTCCGAAGTTGTTTGTGACTAAACTTCATTATAAAACAACAAAAAACATTTTGATAGATATTTTCAAAAGCTGTAGATATTTAGACGGCATCTTCTCTCTTATTAATCTCTGTTATAAAATGTGGATCAACCATCCCCCGTATGGTCACACTGCATATTTGAAACCACACTTGTAAACGATTGATATGTTAGACTTGCAATTACCATGTTAAATACACCTGAAGGATACAGCATCCGAGAGACCTTTTATTGGCCAAACTTTTTTACCAATTTTGAATTTTATAACAATTGAAGGGAGTTGTGAAGAAGTATAATATTAACCTCACGAATTAAATTAAAACTGATATTTTACATCCAGAATGTAATTGTATTTTCGATTCTGAGGCGGGGGTGAGCTGCGGAGACTTCGGCACCCCACCCGTTTCAAAAATATTCAAAAAAAGAATTTATATCTTTTCATATTTTTGACAAAAAAAAGACATATAGCTATATTACGCTATTTCATGTAGAGTAAAAATAGTTTTGTCAAATATCTAATGCATTTATGGTTGTGAGTTTAATTGCATCGTTTTATAAACTAAATATTTCAGATACTGATGATATAATTATCAACCTTATCATATACATGTATTTAATTTAAAGTTCTCAATCTATCATTTATTATGATTCTTGAAAAAGTTACCCCTCCAGCGGCTCATCCTTACATTTTATTACAATAAGTCCCTCCCATTAGATTTCTGACGCTTTTAAGTGTAAAAGCAGTAACTGTAAAGTAGTAAATTCGTCATCATCATCATCATCATCATCATCATCATCATCATCATCATCATCATCATCATCATCATCATCATCATCATCATCATCATCATCATCATCACCATCATCATCATCATCATCATCATCATCATCATCATCATCATCATCATCGCCGTCGTCGTCATCGTCATCATCATCGTCATCATCGTCATCGTATCGTCATCATCATCATCATCATCATCATTACATCATCATCATCGTCGTCGTCGGCATCATCATTATCATCATCGTCGTCGTCATCATCGTCACGTCATAATCATCATCGTCATCGTCATCATTATCATCATCATCATCATCATCATCATCGTCGTCGTCGTCGTCGTCGTCGTTTTCGTCGTTGTCGTTGTCATCGCCGTCGTCTTCGCCTTTCTCCTCCTCATCATCATCATAAATGAAAAGAGACTGATTGATACCAAAATAGACATTTATGGGAAATTGAGCAGCCTTCTTCATTAGACGAAGTACCTTTACTATGTGCGATTGTAGTTGAGAAAGGATTTGATTTCGTTAGAGAGACTGTGATAAGAACTGAACTTTCAAATTTGTTAGCTTTTATGAAATTAGTGTTAACTGTTAACAGTTTTGTAATAATCTAAATAATATTTATTACCTGAATAAGGTTTTGAGGAACTGTTTCATTTCCCGTCGGTTTTCGTGCCACATCGTTAAACAAATATATACTTTTGTTAGAACAGGATCATCTTTCTGTGTACCATAAGAGTTGTGTTTAGGTTTGTGTCGTCTGTTGTGAACAAGTGAGAGGTCAGCAATAGGACTACAGTAGTGAGGCAGAACAAACAGTCTGTAAAATATGGATTCAATAATTATGACTGGCAAATTTTAGGCCTTGTTTTGGCCACAAAACATGAAGTTTTGAGAACAAACTTAAAACTGCCTCATAATAAAGGGAAATTCACAAAATAATGACATATAAACGACAAAAACACGATTAACAAGTAAAATATTGATTTATGCAGATTTCAATCAATATTTCCTTTGTGATAAAATTGGTCACAAAAATAACAACGAAATAACTTTTGAGAAAATTTAGTCCAGCTATTAACATATTCTGACCAAAAATAGAGTTTTTATTTTCGTATGCTAATACCTTTTCAGCAATGAAAATACTCAAAAGTGTATATAGAGCAAGAAAATTCAAGAAAATAACAAAATATGTACTCATTTTGTCATGGTTTGTTAACATGGTAACTCGTCATATGGAAAAAGAAAATCCATTTTCTGCACTACTTTTACTTTGGTCATGTATGAGCAAATTTATGGTAACGTATGTCGACTTTTAAGTTTTTACAAATTTTTGTCAAGATACGTGCCTCCTTGTCCCAACTCCTTGACGGTTTTAAAATATTTGCAAAACGCTTTTATTTTCAGGGAAATAGTCTAAAATATGAAATTTAAGTTCGCTCATGTCGCTTTTACCTCAAAACCCCATCCAAGAAGTTGGGAATTTATAATAAATGGAAGCAAGGGAATTATGTATGTAAATGCTATTTCTCTCTGTTTCTTCTACAATTTGGGTTTGCTTAAGCGATTCAAAATCTGATTTGGTGCCCTTTATAACTAAGTATACGGTTCAGTTTGCTTATTATTGAATGCTTTACGGTAAGCTGTAATCGTTCACATCTTTTTACTATAGTCATTATGGATATTTATCTCATTGACAATAAAACACATCTTCTTATGTCTATATTGACATTGACTGTGGCATATGGGGTTCAAAAACAATAACAATAACATTCAAAAAAACTCTTTTGTTGAGTTAACTTAAAACTGGTAAGCTAGATTGATCATTTGTTGTTCTTTGTTTATCGTTTGTTTACGACTTTTCGCCAGAGTCGGTTGTTGGTTTTATTATTTTCTGTTGTACTGACTTATGCTGATTACTAACTCCTAAAGACTTGTGACATTTTGGAATTTAAAGTTTGAAAAGGAAAAGCTAGTTGTCATGAAGCTTTCGTAAATACAGAGAATATAAGGTTAATCACCGTCCCATCTTTTGGAAAATCATGCTTTTAGTTCCGTAAGAACTTCTACATTCGCTCTTTCCCTTTAAATAATTGTTCATACAAAAAGTTGAATGGTTACCGCATCCTTGAATAAAATTCTGTTTAAAATCCAAGATCCGCTTCGACAAATGTTTATTATTCGAGAAACAAATAAATATAATGAAAATAATTTTTATATTAATTATATTAAATTCTTGACGAAGGAATTATGTGTACACTTGGAAACCCTACTTTTACTGCCTCAACACTCACAAAACAGTAAAAACTGAACAATTAGTTATTTTCCTTTGAATTTACAACCAACGATGAACAACTGCACATTCCCTCAAATTTCTATATAACCAAATTACAAAAGTGTCTTTATAAACAACATTATATTGCTGGGTCTGATATCATCAAGATGTTTGATTTTTTATTGACACTCTGTGACGCTGTGCTTGCCGACTTGTTTCTTTATATTCTTATAAGGAAGACTTTATGCAGAAGAATCTCATAAAAACTGATGTCTTTTCGGAATTATACAAAGCTTGATGACTATGTTGACTGCATCTATTCTTATTAAATTGTAATAAAGTATACCACAGATGCAGTTCAATCTACCTCTTGTTTGTCGTATCTAGAAATTGACAATGAGGGTCGTTAAACAACTAAACTTTACAACAAAAGAGATGATTTAAATTTTCCCATGTTGAGCTTTCAATAAAACTGTAGCAACATCTCAACAGCGTCTGCATATAGTGTATATATATCCCAGTTGGTACGATATTCAAGGGATTGAGCTTCCTATCACGACTTCCTAAATAGAAGTTTACTATTTAAAAGACTATATTGCAATAATGGTTTCTAACGGTAAAGTTGTAGTCATCCATTCGTAATTTTTATGGACGCCGTCATGATTTGGTTGACCTTTATGAAATACCTGTGTCACACATGATCACGGATATAACTCATTTATCGTAACTGCAATCCCGTCTTCCTTTTTTCTACTGTGAAAGTACCGAATAAGACTTAACACAGGGTTTTTACTTGCTTGAGCAACATGATGGTAGTCTGATATCGGAACAGGAACTGTCTTTTTTTTTAGATACTGTGATACTGCTAGTGGAGAACGATATGTTAACCTTTCCGAAGCACCTGAGATTACTACATGTTTTTGGTGGGGTTCGTATTGCAGTCTTTAGTTTTCTATGTAGTGTGTTGTAAACTTGTTTTGTTATTTCGTCATCTTCTGATTTTTTGTCATGAAGTAGTCAGTTCGTCTAGAGTTATGAGTTTCGAATGTCCCCTTGGTATTAACCGCCTTTCTTTAACTTACATAACTCCTATATCTATTTACGAGTGGTTAATAATTTGATCAATTAAAGGAAAGTTATGTTAATACGAGTAAATCTTGTTTTGCGGTCAATAGAACGCACCAAACGAATGTGTACGATGGGCGCGCGTTTCGTCTATAAAACAGTCATTAGAAGCGTTCAAAACAGTTGGACGACCAAACAAGAACAAAAGCGAAGGGAATAAAAAGCCAAATATTTCAAAAAATTATATCTAAACTTGCTATGGACATATGAAAAAGAAAAACACAAAACATTTAGATAAAATGAGGCAACCTAAATGGTTCGATGTATCACTTATTCGCTTAAGACCACAACTAGATAGTAAGGAAAAGCTCCTTAAAAATATAGCAAAGATTCAATTGTTAAGACATTTTATTTTTCACTATAAAAATTGTACACAAAAAAAATAAAAAAAAAGAAATTAAAGGAATTCGGACGGAGCGTTATGGATGAGCTTGACAACCTTCATGAAAATAACTCTAATACATACTGGGATTTATCAAAGGATTTATCTAAGGATAAAAACAAATCTACATCACATAATTCCTGGATACAAGTAATGCATGGTTTGATTATTTTAATGAGCTAAATGGTAAAATCAATTTAACTGATGATAATTTTATTCAATGTTTTCAGCAATTGGAATAGGAAAAAATATTTTCTTAACATGATTTCCAAATTAATGAAAAAGAAATAATTACAGCAATATGTAAGCTAAAAAACAAGAAGTCAAGTGGGTTGACATGATCTGAAATGAAATGCTAAAATGTAGCAAGTCATTTCTATTAACAAATTTTAAAAAAAAGTATTTAATCATATTAGGGTAACAGGTTCCTTCCCTTCCATGTGGGCATAGGGATTTATATTGCCAATATTCAAAAGTGGTTCTACTAATGATCCCTCAAAACATAGGGACACAACCATTGGAAGTACACTAGGGAAACTATTTGCAAAAATATTAAACACAAGGCTAGAGAGTTTTTTTCTAAGAGAAATAGTATATGTCATGAACAGATTGGTTTTTGAAGAAGAGAACACGCGACCATACGTTTGTTCTCAAAACATTAATTGAAAAATATACTCAAATGGACCCTAAGCTTCTCTTTCCTTGTGAGAATTGGCAGATTTCATATGACAGACTCCTTCTCACTTTATACAGCTATTCGTCAAGAGGATAATCTTTTTAAATTATTCATTAATGAATTATGCAAAGAACTGCAAACTAAATCAGTTCATTCCAAAATCGCTAAATTTTCAATTGGGGTAGGAAAAGAACCACAAATATGGCATTGATAGGTGAGCTAGGGAGATTATTTATTAGAGTTCTAGTAAATACGTTTTCATACTTATCACGTTTAACAAATACGGAGGACAAATAATTGTCCGAAGCCCTCTCTTTCAAATACATATCAAACCTTAGTAAGAAAAGTTGGTTTAATTCTATGAGTTCATTGCCAAAATATTTAGTCACAGATTTATCTAAAATTCTTAATATGAAATCCAGTTTTTATTTTGAACAATTTAATATTAAAAGTATAATCATTTCTGATATCTTTAAAGGATGACAGGAAAAATATGTCATTTGGAAATCAACTCAGATCATATATAGTCAATAGAAATCAGAGAATTCAGATGACAAAATTCAGCATAAAGTGACCATAATCATGATAATTTTGAAATAGAGAGAGGTACATACAGAGGACTTCATGCAAAAGATAGAATTTGTAATCTTTGTTAAAAAAAATAAGTGGAAGACGAACTCCACTTTCTATTTAAATGTTCATTTTAGAAAGCGAGAGAGTTTCCATTATTTCAAATATAGTTAAAAGTTACAAAAAGGAGTAAGTTCGTAATAGTAAAAGTTATATTTGGCCCCGAATGTTGAGTCCATTGTTTGAAGATAAAATTTGTAAAATCGCCAGTGGTTGTAAAAACTCATCTAAGATACAGAGCTGATAATTTTGTACACCATACACGAGTTTGATCTACATAAGACTCATCAGTGGCGATCGAATAAAAAAAATTTGGAAGCCAAAATCAAATACGAAGATGAAGAGCACTGAAAACCATTTATTAACCAAATAAATATCAACAGCAAAGTAGTCAGCGCTTTGGTACTGACATGAAACTACGGTTTATTGAACTTCTCTGTAAGGAAATTATGTGAAATCTTATTAAATGGAAAGGCGTATATTTCTCATAAATACCTCCGATTTCTTTTTCAGGTTTGGCTACACCTTTGGTCCTCTTTTGTTTCGTAAGCTGTATAAAGTTCGTATTAAATGTAGGATTTGCATACAGTCTGGCTTTGAGCATCACTGATGATACATTAATTCTCAACATGCGCATCTGATGCAGTAACTACCTTTAATGTTTTATGCCAAATCATGCTACGGTCATCTTTTTCAAAAGGATTTGGGAAGGGGGTGAAACTTGTGTTTAGAATTATTCAACACATTTAAAAAAAAACAACCTTTTTACCAAAAAATACGTATCAATGAAATTTGAAGGAGTGTTGTCTGCTGGGCTGTTGATGGCTGTATAACAGGGGTACTCTATATATGATTTATTAAAATTCATTATTGAAAAAAGCTGATAAGATGTAAGATCTTACGATTTTAGTTTCTGTATTAAAAAAATGCAATAAAATAATTCAACTTTCTTTAACATACCTGCTAACAAAAGCCATTCTATCATGTGACGAATACCAGATATATCTGCAGGTCCATAGCTGTGAAGCCCAAGCTATAATAAACATTCCTATCATGATAGAAATTTCTATGACTGTTACTTTCCTTGACATAAGTATGCTAGAAATCCAATTTGTTTCATTTATAAAATGTGGAACCACTACTCCAATAAGATATACTGGTGTTCCAATCGCCAAAGCTATACAAAAACAAATTTTGTCCATGCTGAGTCTGGTCGAAATTACAGCTCCATAGAACAATCCAATACTTGTGAAAAAATGGACCAAAAAGGAATTTAGTAGCCAATTGTCAACATAATTTTCTAATGATGGAATATTACATGGACGAATTGTCATGTTATGTAGTTGAACGGCTGTGTTATTGAATATATCTAAGCATGGTAAAGGGGGAACTGTTGAACTAGAGATAGATAATGATTTTGAAGAAAAGGTTTTCCATGGACTTGCAACTCCAGGAGAGAAAAATGTAGGGAAAAGCGCTAATGCCAACAACAGTCTGAAGAAACTTGTCACGAGCGAGGATACTGCGTGATTTTTTTCTCTAATCTCGTTGTAAACAAAAAGCTTCTCATAGAATTTCACTTAATGTTCAAAATATGTCTCAAACCATCGGAAACTCACACAAATAGAACATAATACCATCAAAAATGTGTCAGTGTAGGAAATCTGATTATAAGTCACTTTGTAAATTGGAACTACAAAGACGGCAGCCGCTTGTAAAATTATAGACAAAATGTTTAACAATGGTTTACAAATACGTTTCCCGCCAACGGATAATCTCCTATTGTTCTTTGGTAATGATTTAAGAATGGAAGGTAGTATTGGTGTTCCTGACAGATAGGCACACACCTCTATGGCATTTAATAATGGCAACACCTTGAAGACAAGAGTTCCGAGACAGAAGAAGTGCACACATTCTTTTATAATGACCTGAAAATATTAAAATAATAGCACTTAGAAGAAATAAGATAAATGTAGAAAATCGTAAAGGCGAAGGTATGATTGGGCAACTTTTTTTATTCTTGAATTAAAAAAATCATAACCAATTTTATTTCCAAATTGTAAAGCTGAATAAAATATTTTAAGACAGCAGGGAAGATTGATTCTGTATTGTTTAGTACAAGACTGATATAAAGTGAGAGCTATTTATGTGTAAACTTATGATGTAAATTTAACACATTAAAATTCGATATTTCAGAGATATTTTAAGGTATTTTAGTTTCTTTTTCTTTTTATACGACCACAATTTTTTTGCGGCCACAATTTTTTTGCGGCCGTATTATGGTATGACGTTGTCAAAAGCAAACATTTCTCTGGTTTCCAACGATGACTTAAGTATAAGTAGATGGATCTCTATGAAATTGTACCAAAAAATACATACCAAAAAAGAAAGGTTGTCATTGGGATTGATTTTGGGGGTTATGGCCCTAACCGTTTAGCAAAATGGTGCCAAAAACTAATACTTTGTATAAATTGCTTATTTCTTGACCAATTTCAACGGGATTTAATTAAAAAAAACAGTCTTTAATTTATGATTTTTTTTCAATATACTGAATCTAACCGTGTAATTAGATTTTGGTTTTTGGGTCCCGTTTTCAATTTGTCAATATTAAGGTCCAGGGGTCCAAAATCAAACTTTATTTGATTTCAACAAAAAATGATTCATTGGGGTTCTTTAATATGCAGAATCTAACCGTCTATTTCAGTTTTAATTTTGGGCCCCGTTTTCAAATTGTTCCAAATTAAATTTTGTGTGATTTCAACAAAAATTGTATTATTGAGGTTCTTTGTTATGCTGGATCTAACCGTGTATTGAGATTTTCATTTTGGGCCCAGTTTTCAAATTGGCACTTAGGTCAAAAGGGTAAAACATTTTTTTGTCTAAACATGTACTCATATTTTTTATTCTGGACCCAGTTTTCAAGTGAGTTCAAATCGGTGCCCAAAATTAAACTTTGTTTGGTTTTCACAAAAATTAAATATGTGGGGTTCTTTGATATGCTGAATCTAACCATGTTTTTAGATTTTGAATTTTGGGAACCGTTATCGAACTGGTCCACATTGAGGTCCAAAGGGTCAAAGATACCTGAACTACATAAGTGGCCTTACAAACAACGGTATATTACTGGGTCCTCCAAGTGCTCCACAAAACCTCTTTCTAAATTGATAACAACAACTTTGTCAGCAATCAAAGCCGGGATTCTACGTTATTGTGAAACTACCTATTCTAGAGGTGGCGTGAATCAGATGTGGATACTAAAAAATTCCAAAGATCTTTTAGAGTACATACAATCTAAGACTCTTTCATCTTGCAATAGTATTAAAACATTTGACTTCTCTTCACTTTACACAAGTATTCCCCATTCCAAACTGAAAAAAAGAAATTGAAAAAGTTAGTCCTGCTTTGTTTCATAAAAAAGAATGGCCAACGTAGAAACAAGTATCTTGTCTTAGGGAGGGATTAATCCTACTTTGTAATAAATCATTCGTTTTCAATAAAAATTCTCTGAAACTGACATTATCAAGATGCTTCAATTCTTGATTGACAACATATTCATTACGTTTGGAGGACGTGTTTTTCAACACACAATCGGTATTCCCATTGGAACCAACTGTGCCCCTCTTCTTGCCGACTTGTTCCTTTATTCATATGAGTTTGCTGCTCACAAGGAAGCTATGACACCAAGAGTTCCAAGTGGTGAAGTTGAAATCATCCCTTCTTAAATTTTACGGACGCCATCACGAGTTGGTTGACCGTTATGGAATATCCCTTTCACAGATGTCATAGCTACAATCCCGTCCCCTTTTCCCGAATGTGACCTACCGATTTAGACTTATTTTTGGGTTTGTACTGACATGAGCAACACGACGGATGCCACATGTGGAGCAGGATCTGCTTACCCTTACAGATCACATGAGATCTCCACCAGTTTACGGTTGGGTTCGTGTTGCTCAGTCTTTAGTTTTCTATGTCGTGTTTTGTGTACTACTATTTATCTGTTGGTCTTTTTCTTTTTTAGCCATGGCGTTGTCAGTTTATTTTCGACTTATGAGTTTGAATGTCCCTTTGGTATCTTTCGCCTCTCTTTTTTAAATGAAACTTTGTTTGATATCATCAAAAATTGAATTCTTGGGTTCTATGATTTGCTTAATCTAACCATGTATTTATATTTTGGATATTGGACCATAATAGACAAATGTCCAATATCAATGTTTTAAGTTCTTTGACCACATTCATGCTGTACCAGAAACCTATTATGTGCATAATATTTAATTACAATCCAAATTCAGAGCTGGATCAAGCTTGATTGTAGCCCCATCTGTTTAGGGTCCGACTTCTGCGATCGTATCAAGCTGCGCACAGCAGAGAATTTTATATACAAAATGGCGTAAGTTTTCTTATTTAAAAGATTGCACATAAAAATATGTGAACAATTAAGGCAATAAGTAGTTTAACTATGTTCACATCTCATACATCGATTTATAAGACAAATCAAGATACCAATCATGAGGGAACAGTATTAATTGAGTAAGAATTTTGGGACGGTACAATAAAAATTTATTAACCATAGTATTTGTAACTGATGATCATTATCTTTATCAACATCATGGGTTTGATCAGAATATTAACCTACTTTTATTATCTTTTGATTTTTAAATATGCGATGCAAATTTAAGATATCAACCCGTGCTTTTCAGTTTTATTATGGTTTTACGTATTTCATTTAATATCTTTATAACCATAGATCATATGTTAAAACGGAAATATAAAGGTTTAGCCAATCAGATTATGTCAAAATTAAAAATACTCACAACTATTAACTGAATAAAAGACGGCGAATCTCTTTTCCCGAAAAAAAATTGCAGAAATGATAAAATCAATTTAACACCATCTGGTATTGATATGATACACAGAAGGTAATATGATATTGCATTTTTTCCCAAATTTTCCTGAAATTAATGTATTACTTATCACTTGTGTCTTTCAAAATAATAAGAAAAAAATCTAAATTTTTGTTATAGGTAAGTATAATATTCCTTTTAAGGAATGACTGTAATATTTTTTCTGTCTATGAAGAAATAACATCAAAAATGTGGTGCACACTGAAGAACCCGCGTAGCAGGTTATTTTAAAGTGTGCACCACATTTTTTATGTTATTTCGAATAGACAGAAAAAATATTACAGTCATTTCTTATAATTTAATTCTAAATTCCATTTTAAACCGGAGTAAACCATGAAAAAACGTTGATGACGTCACGGTCACATGACAAAATTATGTCTATGAGCTGATAAACAAAACAACGTCAGCCAATCAGAAGACGCGTTACATCCAAAATTAAATTATTAAGAAATATCAGTCGTTTTTCCCTGAACAAAAAAATAATATACACCTTTGACTTTTGTTAGAGAGTAGTACTCCATGTAGTCAAGTATAAATCAGTATACACTGATATAAGTGCTTACATTCGGTATGTGCCTGTCCCATGTCAGGAGTCTGTAATTTAGTGGTTGTAGTTTGTTGCTTTATCTCATAATTGTTTTTCTTTCATTGTTTTGTACATAAATCAGGCCGTTAGCTTTCTCGTTTGAATTGTTGTTCATTCTTTATCTTCAACTTTGTAGCTGACTTTGCGGTATGGGTGTTGCTCGATTTTGCAGGCCGTACTGTGAACTATATTGATGCATTTAAAACTTTAGAACTGCAAAAGATTTTATTGAATACAATATTTTTTTAATGTAATTTGCAATCCAAGACCAAATATTTTAAATATTTGTAAATTTGGTCAAAAGACCAAATGTGGCCCGAGAACACAGTTATTTCGTAGTGCATTTCTTTTAGACAGTAAATTCAAATTAAAAAAATCGCACCTGCTCTATCTCAAAAAGATTTTTACAGTGTAGTGTACTACTATTGATACAAATAATATCAAAATTATAGAAACTTCTACCAGCTCTAACTCAAAATATTGACAATTC